CTACACCGCTAGTGTGGAAGCAAGTGTTCTCCCCAGGATGACCCTTGAAGTTGCTCTTATACTCTGCGCCCTTTCACTAAGGAAGCACCCATCTTCCTAATCCTCCTAAAGGTAGCCCTCTTGAAATGGAACTGGTTGCTGAGGTCAATTTCTAACCCATGGAAGAATAGCTTTTGGGATGGAGATGAGGGATGTGGAGTTCTTGCAGCTCTTCTGTCTATAAACTCCTGTTCCAGCAGTCCCATACAAATACAGGTCTTCTGTAAATACCCTTCCTATTCTCCTACCTATTACCCCATTGAAACAAATAGGTGAGAACTATCAGTATTTTACAAAGGAGGCTAATAGGGAGGAGTTAAATGACCTGTCCAAGGCACTGGCCTTGAGCTCTGGTGTTCTCCCTGGGAGTCTGGGTTTCATACTAAATGCCCCACCAGGATACTGCTGGGCCTGGGCTGGGGGTGGGAGGGGCTGGGGGGGTGGGGATGGGCCTATGAGCACAGAGCTTTGAGGAGGGATCCAGCAAGGCGGTACTATCACAGAGTCCGGATGGGAAGCCGCAGATGCTGCCTTCACTTGGGACTGACCGCTACATAATCCAGAAGGGGGTCCCAGTCCTGGGGATGCTGGTGCAGGGTTCTGCGGGCCTGGTTGACTTTGGCAGGACCCAGAGCGAGCCAGTAGCTGGTCCTCAGGTGGCGTGGGCAAAAATTATTTCTTTTTGGGAGACGGGGAAGACAAGGCCACCTATAACCGCCTTTTCAAATCTGGAGGCCTGAGAGGAGGTAACCGGGACAAACTACAACTCCCAGAAGCCTCTGCTCTCTGGAGGCAAGGATGGTTGTCATGGTTTCAGAAAACAATATGGCCTCTCCCAGCTGGGACGGGAGTGTCCGGGTTAGAGAGGCAGAAGCGGGTCTGGACGCCCTCGGCGGCGAGGGAGGAGACGCTTGAGCGGCCGTGAGTTTGGGACTGGACGCTGCACGGCTGGATCAGCCTGCCTTTGCCGAGGGTGCCAATGGCGGGCAGTGTGGACGAGGAGGCGCTGCACCAGCTGTACCTGTGGATAGACAACATCCCTCTGTCCCGGCCCAAGAGAAATCTCTCCCGGGACTTCAGTGACGGAGGTGTGCGCCTGTGTATGTCCACATTTCTGTCCTGTATGCACTTGTGTAAGGGGTCTTTGTGCAAACATATCTTTATGCTTGTGTACGTGCATGTTTGGAGGGTTGTCTATCTCCGAGGACTTCAGTTGCAGAAATGAGCCTGTGTGTGTGAGTCAGTGACTCTCTCATGGGACTTAATGACTAAGGTGCATATCTGTGTATGTATTTTTGCATCTCTGCGTGTGTGCATGCACATTGCTATATTCTATATGTTTATCTTATGGGAGTCAGAGTGTGTGCTCCTATGTGTATTGACACACTTTGTCCTGTATGTATGTAGGGGAGTCTTGTGTGTATATGTGTTGCTTCGTGATTGTGAAGGTGTCTGTGTGTTTAAGATCGTCTCCTGGGATTTTAATGTGTGACTCTTTGTGCTTCTGTGTGTATGTTGGTGACTGTCTCTTGGAACTCCAGTGATGGAAATACGTGTATGTGTCCATCTCTCTGTGTGCTGTATGTGTGCTTGGACATGTGTGTGTGTGTGTGCTATGTGTGTCTGGAAAGGTATGTATCCTGTGTATCTACACATTCTATCCTATGTGCATATCTGTAGAGGGATCTTATCACATATGTCTATGTGAGTCTATGACTTTCTCCTGGGACTTTGGTGTTGTGTGTGTGTGTGTATCTATATTTATGCCTAGGATGGAGACCCAGGATTCGGAAGGGCTCCCATGGAGGTTCCTTCTCTATCAGGACACCAGAGACCACAGTTTTCAAATGCCCTGAGTTAATGGGGAAGGAATGTAGCCCCTCTGGAGTATGCTGGAGACTTAGTCTCCAGCTGATCACTGATCTCACTTCCTTTCCCCCACCCTCCCCTGTCCTCTTTCGCCCCTCTCTTCCTATCATCCTTTTCCATTTCCACATCTCCACCTCTCCACTTGGCCCCACCACTCTGCCACCCATGATTCTCCCATTCCACCCATTTGTTCTCTCTTCCTCTTCTCCCTTTCCCATCCCCCCCCCTTTCATGTCTGCTCCCACTCCTACTCCTTCAGTCTTGGTTGCAGAAGTCATCAAGTTTTACTTCCCCAAGATGGTGGAGATGCACAATTATGTCCCTGCCAACTCTCTCCAGCAGAAGCTCAGCAACTGGGGTCACCTGAACAGGTAGCAGAATATCTGGGTGCACTAGCAGGATTTCTGGCCCCTACCCTGGGCTCCCAGGAAGGGCTGCCCCAGCCCCTCCACCTCCTATGGTCTCCTCAGCCCAGGCAGACAGAATTGTCTGGTGACAAAATTAAGGGACTCTTCTATTGGGGAGGTGAAAGGTAACTTGGGACACCCAAGAACAGGGCTCAGGTACGGTGCTCTTCCATCCCCCGGGGCTGTGCACTTAACACAGCAGCTGCCGCACCCCTCTTGTTCTCCCCCACCTCCCTCACTTCATTGCCTGGGGACGTGGTCTGCCATCCCTGTGTCTACCCTCCAGGAAGGTGCTGAACAAGCTGAATTTCTCGGTGCCGGAGGACGTGATGCACCAGATCGTGCAGTGCACCCCCGGCGTGGTGGAGTTGGTGCTCATTCCACTGAGGCAGCGCCTGGAGGAGCGGCGGAGGCGCAGGAAGCAGGGCTCGGGCTCCTTACAGGTGCCACCTACTCAGACTTCTTCTCCTCCTGCTCTGAGGGAGCTTCCCAGCCTGCAGAAAGCCCCACCGTGGCGATAAGTGCGGAAGAAGGGTGCCTGGTTAAAGGGAGCCTGGCCTGGGGGACGGTGGGTGGAAGGACATGGGGCCCTTTGGGGATGGGCGAGCACGAGCTCACAGTGGACCCCCGGGGTTCTTTTAGGAGCTGGTTCCCCAGGATGGCAGTGGCTACATGGATGTGGGTAAAGTGGCTTTTACTTTTCCTCCCTCCCAACGGGAGCTTTTCTCCTTTCCTTCCTTGGGGGGAGGGAGGAGGGAAGACAGGAAAATAGGACTCCAGAAGGGTTACTCCACCACTTACCTCTTCTCAGGTTTGTCCCAGAAGTCCCGAGGGGAAGGTGCCCAGGACACCCAGGGAGGGGGGCAGCTCAGGTAAGGAAACTGGGAGTTCCTGACCTTACCTGACCAGGTAAGGAGGTAGGGAAGGCAGGAATGGGGCAGGGGAGTGGGGAGACCTGGCCGAGGGGCCCTGGAAAGATGAGGGCCAGGCCTCCCCTAAGCTGCTTCCCACCCCAGGGGGGGCCGGCAGCCGGTGCCCCGGCGTCCTGGGTATAGCCAGGTGCTGCACGGCGACCCGAGCGTCATCCTCCAGATTGCCGAGAAGGAGCAGGAATTGTTGGCCTCGCAGGAGACTGTGCAGGTGGGAGCCCTGGGAGGTGCGGGGGGTTGGGGCCTGTGGAGGACGGGATGAGGGCAGGGGGTTCCTGGGTTTGACCTCTGCGCGGCCGCCCAGGTCCTGCAGATGAAGGTGCGGCGCTTGGAGCACCTGCTCCAGCTCAAGAACGTGCGCATCGACGACCTCTCCCGCCGGTTGCAGCAGGCGGAACGGAAGCAGCGGTGAGCTGAGCAGCTGCTCAGGACGCAGGGATGCCCCAGTGTCTGCCAGAGCCCTGAAAAGGCCGACACACCCACAGAACAGCCCATGCACCCACAGAACAGCCCACGCACCCACAGAGCGCGGACTAACAGGGCGGGAAGGGGGCGGGTCCAGCTGCTCCTAAGAGCCTCCGGGAGCCCCTCCCTCGGGGTGAGGGTGAGCATGGTGGGTGGGCGGTGGGACAGGAGCCCTTAAGTCTGAGCACGGAACTGAGCCATCTCCTCCCACTCCATCCGGATCAGGAGAATGGACCACTTTCCAGAACCCAGAAACCGTGTGCGGAGGCCTGGTGTGTACCCCAAAGCAGTGAGAGACACCAGGCGCTCCGCTTTGGAGCTCCCTGTGCTGGGCTTTGGGGGATGGTCCCCCCACTGGGTCCGCACCACTAGAACCCGGTCCCCATCCAGCTGTGAGAACAGTGATGTCTCCATCTAGTTCTTTGTGCCCTGGGCCATTGGGGAAGCTGAGGGAGTCCCTGGCCTCTCCTGCTCTCACCTGGGACCCATCTGGAGGCTGGAGGAGGGCAGCTGCTGGAGAGGAAGGGAGGAGGAAGGGTTCAGCCAGGTGTGGGGAAGACATCGGCTGTGCCTATACCAAATCGCCCTCCCCTCCCATGAGGTAGAGTTGAGAATATTTGGGGTATATGGGACAAGGCTGCCCCCATTAAAAGCAGTGTGCTCTCTCTCTTGTGCTAACCTTCTCTCTCTGCCTGGATCCTGGTGGACAGTGAGGTCCTGCCTCCCTTTTGCTGCACCCTTCACCCCTTGAGGGCCCTTTATGCCCAGAATGGGTCTTGCCTTGTGGGCAGCTGGGCCCTGGGTGGCCACTGCTTTGTAGGCTGATGATACTACATTATCAGGTCTTCTGCACTAGGAGAGTCTGACTTCTAACTCTGGCCTTACTAGACTGACACCCAAATCCACCCTCACAGTCTCCTCCAACTCTGTCCAAACCCACATTTCAGATTCTCTCCAAATGTAGTCACATACTCACCCTAAACCATGCCATGGACTGACTCCTAAATGTGTCCTCTGTGTGACTCTCAACCCTGCTCACAGACTGATCCCAAGTTTTATGGACTGAAGACAAGCTTAACTCCCAACCCTGACTGAGATACCATGGCCATGGTGTGACCCTAACTCTGACCAGTAACATTGAACATTTGTAAATCCTAAACCCCCTACAATTCTGTTCCTAGGCATATATGCAGCATATACCCAGGAGAAACTTAGGTTTGTGTTATGTGTTCTGGGGCACATGTATAGCAATGTTCATAGCAACACATTTTGTAATAGCAAAAGAACTGTTATCTGTTACTGTGTAACAAATCACCACACACCTAAAGGCTTAAAACAGCATTTATTATCTCATATTTTCTGTTGCTCAAGAGTCCAGGGATGGCTTAGCTGGGTCCTCTGCCTCAGGGTTTCTCACAGGCTGCAATCAAATTGTTAACCAGAGGTGTAGTCTTATCTGAAGGCTTGACTGGGGAAGGACTCACTTCCAAGTTCATCTGGTTGTTGACAGAGTCCAGTTTCTTGTGGACTGTTCGAGTAAGGGCTTCAGTTTCTTGCTGGTTGTTGGCTGGTGGCTGCCCTCATTTCCTCATCATCCAGCAAGGGAGAGAGTTAGATGCTAGCAAGGTGGAAGTTATAGTCTTATCTAATGCAATTACAGAAGTGACATCCATCACATCTGTCATATTCTATATATTTGAAATAAGTCACTAGATCCAGCCAACATTCAAGGGGAGAGGAACACATAGGTTTGAATACCAGGAGGGAGAGATCAATGGGAGCCATTTTAGAAGCTGGCTACAAGGAGGAAAAAGCAACAGAAGATAAAATCTAGGATAGGGGTTACTTCTGAGAGAAAGCAGAGGGCAGAGATGCAAGAGGCACATTAGTAGATATAAGTTATTTGTAATGTTTTAGTTCTTGGGGAAAGTGTTGGGTTTACACGTGTTCACAAATGGGCTGTTTATGGACAACTGGGGAGAAAGTGTGAGGTTATTTATTGTTCTGAACCATTAAAAAACAAACAAGGATTATGTGGTGTCCAATTCTATTTACCTGAGTTCCTAAATTAATACAAATAAAAACTGATAACTATTCATGACCTTGGTCTGTGCCCTTCCCTTGCACTCAGCCTGGTCTTAGGTTAAACACTGGCTGCAGCCTGGCCCTCTATCTTACCCAAATTAACCGCAGCCCTGCACACATATTGACCCAGTCTAGCACTCTTCTCTCTCCATCATCTGCATTGGATCTTCAGTGTTCTCTAAACCTTTTATCCATGGACCGTATTTGTATGCTCCTATGTGTGGAGCTGGAAGGCATGGTTTGTAGAGGGGTCTGAGGATCAGGGTGTGGGGTAGGGCATGGTTCTGCCTGACAGGAGCACAATGGACCCAGAATGCAGGTTCAGCGATTGGGGTTACCCCCTTAAGAGTCTGCTGATCTCCTCCATTAGCAGAGGCTAGGCCAGGTCCTGGAGGTTCTTCCTCCTTGAGTCCCCCCACACTATTCCTACCATCCAGATATGCCTGAGTCTGTTTTAATATCTCAAAACCCTACAGATCAAACCCCAAAAGCAGTGGAGAATTTTATTGAATGTTTCTTGGGAACAAATATGAAGGTGGATTACATCACACATTATGTCTATAACTCTTCTTTAAACATCTCTCTTGTTCTCTAAACTTCCCTTCTGACAGCCACTACCATATTTTCCCCACTCTGCTCCTCACTCCCCTATCGCCTTTCTGATCCACACTAAATCAGATTTCTTCTGGTTCATTCATTCATTAATTCCTCAAATGTTTATTGAGTTTCTACTATGGACTAAATACCAGGAACACAAGGATGACTATAAAACAAGATCTGTATTCCATTTTCACAATCCTAGGAGGGGAAAGGCATGTAAAAAGGCATTTAGCATTTTTTGTTACTTAATATTTTGAATAGATCAAACACATCAAAACATATAAGCCCGCCTGGTGTGGCTCAGTGGTTGAGCATTGTCGACCCATGCACCAAGAGGTCGCTGATTCGATTACTGGTCAGGGCACATGCCCAGGCTGTAGGCTCCATCCCTGGTGGGGGGCATGCAGGAGGCAGCCAATCAATGATTCTCATCAATGATGTTTCTGTCTCTCCCTCTCCCTTCCTCTCCGAAATCAATAAAATTTAAAATATACATTTTTCAAAAACATAAAAAGTGAAAACTCTCCTTGGTCCCCTACACCTCTGATAGATAACCTTTTTCTTTAGTTTTTGCATATTCTTCCATAGTATCTTAATGTGAATATACAAGCAAATATGCACATTTATTGTTATCTTACCCCCATCTTTTTTAATATAAAGAGGAAGCAGATTATCCACTCTTTTCTGTATTTTTTAAAAATTATTTTATGTACAAAAAGATAGCATTCTGTCATAAGATAGATGTCTTGAATGACCCATTCATGAAGTTCACTTAGTCCAACTTAATGAAGCCTATGTCCTTCACGTACTGACAAACACTGGCGACGCATGTTGAGGCCGTATTTCCAGATCAGTGTGGCGGTTTGAGCAGCCGCAGCAAGGAGGGCCCTGGCCAAATTTCCTCAGATGGCTCCAGTAGAGTTGCTGGTGACCCATCTTGCTCTCTGTGTAGCAAAACAAGGCAAACGGCTCTTTTCTGTATCTTGATTTTCCACTCAACATGGTCTCTTTTAGATATGTGATGGTCAGTGTTGTGTGCCAACTGGACTGGGCCACAGGGTGCCCAGACATTTGGTCAAATGTTATTCTGGGTGTTTTCTGTGAGGGTGTTTTTAGATGAGATTAACATTTAGATGGGTAGTCTGAGTAAAGTAGATTGTTCTCCCTGATGTGAGGGGGCCTCTTCCAATCAGTTGAAGAAGGCCTGACTAGAATAAAAAAGCTGTGTCTTCCGTGAGTAGGAGGAATTCCTCCTGCCTGACAGCCTTTGAACTGGGAGATGGGCTTGTTTTGTTTTTGCCTTTGAACTTTAACTGAAGCATGAATTCTTCCTGGGTCTTGAGCCTGCCAGCCTTTGGACTGGAACAAAACCATGGGCTCTCCTGGGACTCCAGCTTGCTGACTCATCCTACAGCTCTCGCAACTTGCCAGCCTCCATGACTGCATGAGCTAACTCATCTATCTCTGTCTCCTATTGGTTCCGTTTCTCTGGAGAACCTTGACTAATGCAATATTTTTCCATAACAGTATGTACTGGTACATTGAAAACTTCTAAATAAAATTCTATTGTCTGTACCAAATTTAATCAGCCCTCTATGGACACTTGGTTTATTTTTAATCTTTTATTAATAATACAACAATGAAGAACCTCACACATTCATGATTTAATGTTGTGTACAAGTATATCTGCACGATAAATTCTAGAACTGAGGTTGTCCAGTCAAAGGATACATACATTTGCCCTGACCGGTGTGGTTCAGTTGGTTGAATGTTGTCCTGTGCACTGAAAGGTTGCTGGTGTACTGTGCACTGAAAGATTCCTGGTCAGGGTACATGCCCAGGTTGCTGGTTCAATCGCTGATCAGGGTATGTGCGGGAGGCAACCAATCTATGTTTCCCCTCTCACACTGATGTTTCTCTCCCTGTCTCTTCCTCTCTCTCTCTCTAAAATCAATAAAAACATATTTTTTAAAAAAGAATACATGTATTTGCAATGTTGGTAGATATTGTGAAACTGTCATCTACAAGGGCATGGTTCAGAGCAAAGGCTGACGTCTGGTGGCCCGTTGGCCTGCTTTGGTTTGCAGTGCTGTGTTTTTACAAAATTTCTAATTTCTATATTGATGAGGATGTGAAGTAACTGGAACTCTCATACTCTGCTGAGAGTGTGAGTACAAACATTTCAGAACAGTTTGGCAGTTTCATATAAAATTAAGCATAAGCCTATGCTATTGTATGAGTTCAATCAGAGAAGCAGAAAGACTTTGTTACAGGGACTTGACGTCAGGTAACTGTTAAAGAGGCTGTTGTTTTGCATCTGATTCTGGACCTCAAAGTTCACAGGTCAGGCAGTTGGGAAGGAAGGATGGATATAAAGTGTGTGTGTGTGGGGGGGGGGGGGGGGCAGAGAACGGATGAGTTGGAATCCATGAGCACAAGCTGGAGCCTTCGAGAACAAACTGAAACTCACCTTAGTTCCCACTGCCTCCAAATTTGATGATATGGGTGTCGTGCTGGAGAAGTCGGTGCCCTTTCCTCTCTGGCCCAGGAGTCAGAGAGGCTGAAGGAGAATCCAGGGCAAGGTGGAGCAGTTATGGGCCTGGGTGCTACCCTGCCAGTGAGATGAGCCAGCAGATCAGCAACAAAGTGGATAGGCAAGGAGCTCCAGACCTTGCAGGTGTAAAAACCAATATAGCCACTGTTTTCTTCTACCCTCCAAATCTCATGCAAAAATGTCTGTTGTGGACCACCCTAATTGGAAACACACAATGAAGAGAATTCTGGGAAATGTAATTCCTTCTAAATTGGTACATTATGAAACCACCACAGCCATGTTCCAGCAATTCCATTCCTCAATATATACTCAAGAGAAATGCATCCATATGTTTACCAAGACATGTACTAGAATATACACTATAACATACAGTAGTCCCCCCTTATCCACTGGGGTTACCTTCTAAGACCCCCAGTGGATGTCTGAAACATCGGAGAGTACCAAACCCTACACATACTGTTTTTTCCTATACATACATAGCTATGATAAAATTTAATTTATAAATTAGGCACCGTAACAGAATAACAATAATAACAATAAAATAGGACAATTATAACAATATACTGTACTAAAAGTTATGTGATGGTGGTCCCTCTAATACCAATCTCATAACAGAGTTGACTACTGTGACTAATGGGTGGGTAGCATATATAGTGTGAATTCCCGTAATGGGCAGGATGGAGCAGGACAGCACAGGACTTCTTTGTGCTACTCAGAATGGTGCACAATTTAAAACTTATGAGTAGTTTATTTTTGGAAATTTCCATTTAATACTTTGGGATCATGGTTGATGGCAGGAAACTGAAAACACAAACAGCTAAATCACAGTTCAGAGAAGGACTACTGTAGCACCAGACAGTCCACAGTCAGCAGCTAGTCTGTGTTGGAAAGAGCCAGGAATGGATTTGGGAAGTTAGCTAGAAAGACGTAAGAATGCAGGCCTTACCTTGTTCTTGAAGGGAGGATGAGTTTGGCCCATGAGAGGAGAGTAGGAAGGGCATTCCAGGTGTGAAGGTAGCATAAGGAAGGTATATGAAATCAAATATCTTCACAGATCCAGAAGGTAAAATTAATGTGAGAAGGCCAGTATGGTTCAGTGGTCGAGCTTTGAACCAGTAGATCACAGTTCAATTCCTGGGCAGGGCACATGCCTGGATTTTGGGCTTGATCCCAAGTAGGGGGCATGTAGGAAGCATCCAATGGATGATTCTCATCATTGATATTTCTAGCTCTCTCTTCCTCTCTGAAGTTAATAAAAAATGAAAAGAAAATTAATGTGAGAAAATAGGGATTGGTGGGAACTATGGCAAATTGATGTGCCAGCCTTTGGTGCCAGGCTGGAATGTGAGTCCATCTTGTTAGATCTTCTGATATTTCAAGAGAAATAGAGGAAGAGGAAGAATAGAAAGAGGGAGAGGAGGAAAAGGAGGAAGAGGAAGAGGAGGAAAAGAAAAATTAGAGCCCTAACCGGTTTGGCTCAGTGGATAGAGTGGACTGAAAGGTCTCAGGTTCGATTCCAGTCAAGGGCATGTACCTTGGTTGCGGGCACATCCCCAGTAGGAGGTGTGCAGGAGGCAGCTGATCGATGTTTCTCTCTCATCGATGTTTCTAACTCTATCCCTCTCCCTTCCTCTCTGTAAAAATCAATAAAATATATAAAAAAAGAAAAATTAGAATTTTTAAAAGCCCACTTAAGCTAAACCAAATACAACTGCAGTTTTGGGCCCACTGTCTGCCAACTTTATAGCTTGAAGAATAGAATAGACATGGGAGTACAATTTTTAGATGAAAAGGGGCCACCTACTAAACCTTTCAAGATCAGGGGAGGCCTGTGTGGTGGCCTTACCTACTCAGAGACCTAAAATAACCACATAGAATGGTCTGAAATGAAACTTTTAACTAAAAGCAGTTTATGGTGGGTAATCAAGTCCTAGGCTAGAATCTTCCCTGACAAAGGTCAATCTTTTTGTTTCTTTTTTAAAAATATATTTTTATTGATTTCAGAGAGGTATGGAGAGGGAGAGAGAGATAGAAACATCAATGATGAGAGAGAATCATTGTTGGCTGCCTTCTGCACGTCCCCTAGTGGGGATTGAGCCCATAACCTGGGCATGTGCCCTTGACCTGGTATGAACCCGGGACCCTTCAGTCCACAGGCCGACGCTCTATCCACTGAGCCAAACCGGCTAGGGCACAAAGGTCAGTCATTACCTTAGTTGAGCCTGTTTATTGTCTGTTGGCATCTATGATAACATACCTTTGGAATGTCAAGGTAATTTCCCTTTTTCTGGACCTTTTGGGTGCAACAACCACACCAGAACAGAGACTACAAATTCCCTCACTGTTATTATCATGATAATGGGATTTTTAAAAATTTATTTTTAAAATGTTTTTGATTTTTTTTTTTTGGTTATTTTTAGAGGGAGAGGGAGGGAGCACGTGTAACTTTGATCAGCTGCCTCCTGCAAGTCCCTTACTGGGGATCAAGCCAACAACCTGGGCATGTGCCCAAACTGGTAACCTCTCTGTACATGGGGCAATGCTTAACTAAATGAGCCACACAGTCAGGGCAATCATGAAATTGTTGACTGTTAACTATTCTGTACCCACCTATGTAAAAGAAGTGTGTCTATCATTTTATCTTTTATCCAATCCCAGAGTTTCTCCCCCCCCACCTCCCAGCTTTGCTTTCTCCCACCTCCCTAATCTATTGCCAATGGATTTCATTTAATCCACTTATGTCTTCTCTTTTGATTATAATGTATAAAGCAGGGTGCAGAACTGCCATTTTTCGAAGCATTTTTCTCAATCCGTTGAGGTTTTTCTTCCTGGCAATTGTCATCAGTTTGGTTCAAATAAACTCACACAAATTCTCTGCAGGTTTGAACGTTTCTTACTTTGACAAATTGGAGGGGGAGCATAGTAGAGTGCATAGAAGGTGGGATTGGGTAGTGAGAGAGCATCTGGCAGGAGCTGGCGGGCTGGGTGGAAATTTCCCAGTGCCAGCACCTGCGGACAGCATCTCAAACTCCAGAATGTGCAGGAGTCACACAAAAATCTGCTAAAAAGTTTGTGAGGCTCTGCTGGAGACAGTGGCAGAGCAAGGAGCGCTTTGCAGCAGAGTAGCACTCGATGGAGACAATAGCTCAGGAAGGTTAGTTTGCCAACAGCGTGCAGACAAAAGCACAGGGTAGGAGCCTTGGAGGCTCCCAAAGACAGCGATCCGGTCCTTCTGAAAGGAAGCTGGCCCTCAGCCGCTCAGGCCATCTCTCCCCTAGTCACGTTGGAAGGAGGGCGCTGCATGCTCCGGAGGGCGCCCTGCGGGCACTTTAGGAACTCTGTCCCCGCCGGGGAAATGGTGTGTGTGTGTGTGTTCAAGCACAGGCAGGCGGAGGTGCAGCTAGAGCCGCTGAAGACTCTCCCACCGCTACCCCCTGCCGGCGCCCACAGCCCACCTTGCAGCGCTGAGCTAGGGGCATCCTGCTGCCAAGACATCCTGCATCCTGCTGCCATGACGACCGCCTCCTTGGAGACCCGGTGCTGAGGCTGCGGTCCCGGAGGGCCCCTGGTTCTCCCAACCCCCACTCCGCGTGCCTCCTTTGTTCTGATGTTTATCTCCGCGAGCAGGGCTCCCAGGAGGAGTCTCAGGTCCGCGCCCGAGCGCTTCCTTCGAGACAGGGGGGTAAGGGTGGGAGGGAAAGAGGCCAAAACCCAGGGTTCGCAGAGCGGCTCCTGGACTGGACCTAGAGATGCGCGAATCGATGGCGGAAGCAAGCTAGGGAGCGACTTTCGGGTGCCCCACCTAGCCCTGAGCCCCGCCTTCCGACCGCTGGAGGGGCAGAGCCTAGGGGAGGCCTTTCCAAGTTGAGGCAGAGGCGGGAAGTGCAAACTCCACAGGGAAAATGGGCCGCGGCGGGACCTCCTCCAGGCACTCCTCCTTGCCTGTCTCCCTTCCTCCCGGCGCTGGCGCCAGGTTACGTCGGGCGGCCTCGCTGCCTTCATCACCGCACCTCCCGGGGCCCTAAGCAAGGGCTCGCACTGCGCAGGCGCACGGCCCTGCACGTGATGCGGTGGCGCAACGCCCGTTGGCGGTTCTCTGGCGCCCGCTTATTGGTCTGAAGCAATCCTCGCCCCACCCCCTCGGTCCACCAATGGGCGGAGGCGGGGGCGTGCCCGAGAGGCGGGTGGGTGCCACTCAGGACTCCCTCCTCGTGCTCGGCGTGGAGACCCCCACTGCCGCCGGGATCGCCACTGCCCCCGCCTCAGTATTCCCGCCTCGGCCCCGGGGTGCGCCTCGCACGGTAAGACCGCCTCTCCTTCCGCTACCTGCCGGTCCCTCCCGCTCGCGGAGATCCCCTCCCAGCGGAGCCTGTGTCCTAAGCAGTCGGTGCAGGAGACCCCCTGCGGCTGGGGCGGTGGAGGGGCGCTCAGTTGTCAGGGCCGGGCTGGGGAGGGCGCTCTGGCATCTGAGCTGGGGAGATGCCGGACCCCGGGGGCGCGGTGACCATCAGCCTGTGTAGCTGGGGTATCTCTGTGGGGCGCTGTCCGGGGCACGTGTGACAGTGTGAGGGCGGGGGCGTAATGGGGTCAGCGCCATCCGCATCCCCCCACAGCTGCAGCCCCTGCCTCGCTGTGTGACCTTGGGCGGGTACCCTCTCTGAGCCTCGAGCCTCCCGTGCCTCGGCACCCTCAGGTAGGAGGGCGGGGATGTCGGGGAGTGCGGGCTCCAGAGACTGCGTCAACAGAGGTCATGGTGGGGAGGGCACAGGATTATCTTTGAAGATTATCTTTGAAGACAGAGACGCTGCCTCACTGACCGGGAGGGATGTGATGGGGGTTGGGGGTTGGGGTCCTTTACCCTCATTTGTCCTCGGCGAGGAGGAAAAGGGGGCGGGGATGGGGGCGCCACATCCTTGGGGATGGAGGCGGGAGAAGATACAGGTCCTACACCTGGCCCCCTGGTGCATCTAGGTTCTGAACCCGAGTTCCTGTGAATGAGCAGGGGCCCTGCTGGGCTGAGGAAGGAGGCATTGGATCGCCTTCCCTCTTGATTCTCGGCATAAGGAAGCAGGAGTAGAACTGAGGAAAGTCAGGGGCAGCTGACAAACCCTGGACCCTGCCTGGCCTTTACTAGTTGGGACCGCCAGGGTGGGGCAGGCAGTCTGGACGCCGGAGGGAATCCAAGCACCTTCTAGCTGAGGGCTTGGGGTAGGGTTTTTTTGGGGGAGGGGATGCTAGATAGAGGAAGGCAGCTCTTCTTGGGGAGATAGGAGGGTGTGGCATGATGGATGAGAGAGAGAACACTCATACCTCTCCTTACAAGGAAATGGAGTCACATCCAAACTGAGTTGATATAAAAACTGCCACAGCCATACCTGACTTCCGGTCTTACCTTCCCAGGCATTGGTCTAAGTATGTGCGTCCCCACTGTGTTCAGTCTTTGCTGGGTTCTGGAGCCAGCAGGTCAGTGGCCCCAGTGGGAATCTTTTTACAAGCTTGAGCAATTAAAAAAAAAAGTCTTTATTGATTTTAGAGAGAGGAAAGGATATGGAGAGACAGACATTGATGTGACAAACATTGATCATTTGCCTCCTGCATGCTCCCTACTGGGGACTGAGCTAGAAACCCAAGAAGGTGATGGTTCTGGAGCTCCACCTGCCATAGGCCCTCCTTCTAGTCTGGGGGTGTGGGACAGCCTGGAGTGACAGACAGCACCCTGTGGGGCAGGAGTCTAAGGGGCTGAGAACTCTGGGTTTCTGTGTAACTGTCCATCTGTCTACTCACTTGTCATTGTCCCTGGGCCTGTTCTCCGAGCCAGACGCTTCACTGGGCCTGGCTGAGCCCTGCCCTGGATAGGGTAACCTTGAAGCAGCAATTCTCTCTAAAGGTGAGAGGGACCTGAGCTGGCAGCATTCTGTCCTCTAGAAAGAAGTTTCCCCCAATTTCCCTGAGAGTAACTGAGAGCCAAAGAAGCCCTTACGGCCATTTCAGCCCTCCGCATCCTGTGGCTTGTCCCTGGTACCACCCCTGACCTGTTGATAGCCTATCTAAGGGGAGGGGGGGAGGGTGTAATTTTTTTTTTTGCTGGGCTGGGGGTATTTTCCAGGATGTACATTGTTCACATCTGCCTTGTGAGTTCCTCTGGTTTTGAGGACAGCAGGCTCCCAGCAGTCTGTTCTCTGTCAATCCCTGGGGACCTGCCTGGCCTGGGAGTGGAGGAGGGGGACAGCAGGATGGAGGTGGAAAGGGGGAGGGAGGCCCCTCAACCCATGAGCTGTATTCTGAGAAGGCTGAAGTCCCGGGAGGCCCACCCTGAGGGCCATTCCTGGCTGTTCCAGGATTGCCTGAAGTCCTCTCTCTCCACCGTGCTGCCCTGAAATTGCCTTTGCTTCCTAAAGCAGGCCTTTGGGGGTTTGCTTTTGCAAAGGTGGGGGTGAACTGGGGAGCATTGTCAGAGCTTCAGACACCAGCTGCACCAAACCCTCTGAGGAAGAGGCCACTGCTTTTTCCTGTGTTACAGATGAGGAAACTGAGGCACAGAGATGTACAGTAACTTTTCCGGGCAGCCTGAATCTGGACCAGGACTGCTGGGCTCGGGAACCATGCTCCTGCCCATGCCCCTGCTGGCTCCAGAAGGCTGTGCAGTTGGGGGCATACTCAGGACTGGGCTGGCACAGGAAGGGGCCTCGCAGTTCCCTGTGGACACAGTGCAGCAGGAGGAGGCTGGACACCTTCTCCTCCTGCTTCCGATAAGGAATTGTGTGAAGAGTCTGGCTTCCAGGGGACAGCCTCCTGCTGTGAGAAAGGAGGCTCACTTCTTCCTGGCTCTGGGCCCCTGAAGTCACTTGCCTCCCCCTCTGCTGGTCAGTGCAGGAGATGCAGGTCCTACTCTCTGGCTTTATGCAGGCCCTACCTTTTGGGCTTTTCATGTCAACGATGGAAAGCGTTGATCACCGGTTGATGGTGGCAAGGCTAGAAGGATGCCTAGTGGGAGGCTATACACTGAGATGGGGGAGGGGTGTGCCCTCCAGGGCAGAGGTTGGCTAAGAGAGTGGGGTAGGGCTTTCCTCTTCCTGAGAGCATTTGGTAAGAGAGTTGCCAAGAGGGCCCGGCCAAGGCCCCGACTTGGGCTCCCCTTAGTTTGGTCATTCATTCATTTAACAAATATGAACTGAACACAGGTTCTCCCTGCCAGGTGCTGGGAGAGTTTGGCCTAGACAGAGTTTGGCAAAGACAGTTACTGCCCTTGAAAGGAAACATAGATATGAAATGATCCCATAAATGAGAAGGGGATCCTTTTAAAGGTGTTTCAGGGAAGGGCAGGGGCATGGTGTTGTGCTGGGGCTGAGATCCAGGCCTGGGGGACAGGATTGTTCCAGGCAGGCAACATGCAGTGCATTGTGGGGAAGACAGGGAGGGGGCCCTGCAAGTACTGGGTCAGAGTGTTTTTGTGAAGAGTCCCCAGGAGCCTTTGCTGATCCGTCACTGGTTACGAGTTTCACCAGGGCCTCCAGGAAGTATCTTGGGAGATGCAGGGATCTTGTGGGCATTGGACAGTCATTCCCCCTGCAGAGGTGTGGCTGGAACAGCTCTTCGGAAAGTGGGAAGGTGAACCGGTACCCCTTGCTCATGGCCGTTTTTCACATACTCTGAGTCCATAGTTTCTGAAGGTGGCTGGAGTGGATGGGGTGGGGGTAGGCTTCTCTCCGAGAGCCAGAATCCCTGGGGATAAATAGACCCAGAGCAGCCCAGGCCAGAGATGATGAGTGGGGGCATAGTAACCCTCCTTGCACTCTGAGTGGGGCCTGAGAGCTAGCCTCCAAGGAGATGGGGATGTGTGCTGGCCTGGGCTGTACCTGCTGTGGTGACTCCTGCATTCCTGAGACCCAAGCCTTTCCTTTCCTTGCAGTCTCCTTCAATCAGGGGTTCCTGGCACCCAAGCTGATCATCGTGCCCATGAGGCAGGGTTGGGCCTGGGTGGACTTCTTGAACTGGGAAGTGGGAAGGGAAGTGAGGCCGGTGTCCAGGCAGCTTAGCGCCTGCGAGACCTCCAGGTCATGCCCTCCGCTGGCCCAGCCCCTGACTATGAGGCCACCAATCTGTGGTTTGTTTCCCTTCCTCATTCCCTGGACTAGCTGAGATCATTCGTGGGTCACTCATCTCCCAAATACTTAAGTGTGTATCTCTGAAAAATAGGACATACCTCTCTACAGAATGCAATTTCATCATCTCACCAAATATAAGCTCTTATTTCGTAATGTCGTCTAAGAACCAGTCCCATTCACATTTTCTAATTATCCCCAAATGTATTTTTTATGGGTAGTTAGAAACCCCCTGCCCCATTTATTTCTCTCTTGAAGCTGGTGTAGTGGAAAAAACCAGGTCATTTGTCCCATAGAGTCCCTGCCTTCTTGGTCTCTTTGTGTGTTAATCTAGAACAGCAGTTGGCAGACTTTTTCTGTGAAGGGCCAGATAGTAAATAATTTAGTCATTGCAGGCTATGTGGTCTCTGTGGCAACTACTCAAACTAGTTTTTGTTGTTGTTGTTTTTTATTGCAAAAGCAGTTTTAGACGATAGGTAAACAAATGAGTGTGGTTGTGTTCCCATAAAACTTGACAAAAAACAGGCAGTGACGCTGGCTGGCTGGTTGGTTGGAGCTTCCTCCCATACCCTGATGACAGGTGGCAGGTTCGATTCCAGTCAGGACACACCCAGGTTGTGGGTTTGATCCTCCGACAGGGTGGTCGGGCACCTGTGGGAGGCAGCAGATTGGTATTTCTCTCATTGATGTTTCTCTCTCTCTCTCTCTCTCTCTCTCTCTCTCTCTCTCTCTCTCTCTCTCTCTCTCCCCTCATCTCTTTAAAATCAATAACAAAACAAAACAGGTAGCAGCCCTTCAGTCTGTTTTTTGCCCATCCCCTATCTAAAAAACTTCTCTTCCTTTATTTTTCTTGCAGTTTGGAAAAAACAACAAAACAGGTCAGTTGTCCTAAAGGCTATCCTGCCTTCTGGGTGTGTCTCATTGCTTTCTTGTGGAGTCCTTTAATTTGTTCCACTAACCTCTGTGTTTTCAATAAGCCAGCAGTTGGAGCTGGGGCCTTGATTAGATCCAAGGTAGACATTTTGGGCAGGTGGGTGCTGTGCCCTTGCCAGTGGTGCTGTGATTTGGTGCTGCCTCACATCAGGAGGTATCAGTGTGCCAGGTCCCATTGTGAGTGAGGGGCGATTAACCGGTGCCTGACTGGCTGATGTCACATCTCTCCATTGCAAACTCGTGTCATTCCCCTTAAGAACTCTAGGTCATCTGTTGGTGACACGTGAGCATCTGTAAGCATCTACTTCTGTCAACCTTTTTCCTCTGGTTTACCATCCACTGACTCACTGCCTCCAGCGCGAGTTGGGGGTTGCAGAATTACTTGGCATTTGGTCATTTCTTTGTTATTTAACAGCGAGAATTCTTCTGTAAAAAAGAGCTTTCTTCTAACCACCAGGGCAATTTCATTACGGGAAAGGCCAGGAGACAGGCTGAATTATTTCTCGTTATTGCCAATTTTCAGTGTAAAGAGTTAGGGCATTGTCACTGTCAGTGGTGACAAATGAGGGTTTGGGTTTGTTTGTTTGGCTTTCTCTCTCCTTTTTTTCCTAATCTCTGTGACTGCTCCAGTTTTATGTATTCCATCTGTTTCCATCAGTTGCACTCATTATTCTTTTTAAAAAATGTTTTTATTGATTTCAGTGAGAGGGAGAGGAAGAAAGGGATAGAAACATTAATGATAAGAGAGAATCATCGATCGGCTACCTCCTGCACAACCCCTACTGGGGATTGAGCCTGCAACCCCGACATGTGCCCTGACTGGGAATTGAACTGTGACTTTCTGATTCATGGGTTGCCCAACCATTGAGCCACACTGGCAGGCTCATTATTCATTTTGTGTTGAGATGATCCCAGCTCAGCCCACAGGGGCCGGGCTGCTCACACAGGCTTTCTGGGCACCTCTGCTGTCCCTGCCTTGAGGCTGCCTGCTTTTGGGGAGCTGAGCTGGGGAGGGCAGTCCCCTTCATAGGCGTCTGTTCTGTATATGGCCCTGGTCAGTCACCAGTAGGGAAAGCCCCAAGGACACGTCTTATGTAGACCCCCATTTTTGCTCCCCTCCAAACATACTGTTGACTCTGACCTAACACTGTGGACTCTGGCTGCAGGAGGGTACACCCCTTGGTGTCACCAGCTCTAGAACTGGCTCCTGGAAAGAGCCAGAGAAGTCCCCTCCTTTCCAGACTGCCCCTCCTGTCAGCCTCAGGGGCCTGGGCACACGCGTTCTGTGCTGGTGCTTTGGCACCCAGAAGCTGCAGCTCCGTGCATGCCATTTGGGTCCTGGGTCAGTAGGGTGTCAGGCGGGGTGAGGGCTCTTGGTGAATGTGGGGTGTTGGTAGAGGAGTTGGGGGCAGAGCTCCTTGTGCTAGAGGGTGCAGGCACCACTTGGGCTGCTAAGAACAGCAGGGGTTTGGGTCCTTCCTAAAGGGAGGTCTCTGTTCTCAGGTCATGGGTGGACCTGATTCCTGCCTTCTGACTCCCTTCTGACTCCCTTCCCCACTCCCTACCCTACAGGCTCCTGCTGCTGTTCTTGGAGCATGGGAGGCTGCTGAGCTTACACAGCAGGGTCCAGAAGGAGCTGCGTGTCTCCCCCGTGGCAGGGAGGGCATCCATGGCTGCAGCCAACAAGGGTGAGTGCCTTCCTGGCCTGGTGGGGTTTGCAGGGCCTTCCAGCGGGTGCAGGTGAGAGGGGTGTTATTGCTTGTGGGGCCTGCATTGGCTGTGTATATGGGTGTGTGTGTGTGTCTGAATGTGAGCACAAATTACATCAGTAAATGCACCAGTGTTTATGCCAGGTCCTAGGGTACACCCAAGCCTTAGCAGGGAATGTGGGGACCCCTTGGTGTGCTGGAGGTATGAGCCCTCATGCCCCTGTGTTCCAGCCTCTGCGTTGCACTGTGGGGGTTGGAGGGACATGCGGGGCTTGGGTGAGCACTGAGCTTGGCGAGGTGGGTAGAGCCACAGAAAGGGATTTTGGGTTCATTCAGAGTCAGAAGGACTCCTGGAGGGTGCTAGGCAGGGGAGGCTGGTGAGATTTAAGGGTCAGGTCTGGGGTCTCAGCAAAGAATGTGGCAGTGCCAGGCTGGCTCCTCTGGACCTCCACCAAGCGTGTAAGAACCCAGGCCAGGGCGAGGCCAGACCCTGCACCAGGAGGACTCTGAGCAGGGATCTTGGGAGTCCTCGGGACGGTGGGGGCCAGAGAGGACTGGGGTCTTGCTCTTGGTAAGACAGACCTCCCCCAGGATTGGCTCCTGATACTCTGCCTGTCTCAACCCCTGCCTCCTGGATTTGGAGAACCTGATCCCTCTGGGGATAGCAGAGGGTCTTGTGAAGGGTTACACAGATGAGGGGGTCTCTGGGCAGGCTCCCCTGGAGGCTCCCCTGGGTTCTCCCATCTTTCCTGCCAGTGATCCAGGACAAGTTAGGGGCAGCGCAGCCTCTCCCAGGTGGTGGGCTCAGTGTGGGGTTTGCCCCCCTTTTGTTTTTCCCACTCCCAGACAGGTCCCAAGGAGCCTGTTCCTGTCCTTGTCCCTCACCCCGACCAGGTTGGGGTCATCAGGAGGGGCAGACAGGGACCTCAGGCACAGGGATACCTGGAAGAGAAGGTCCCAGAGATGGGGAGCGTGGCCCTGTGGAGGAGAGCCCTGGGGAGGCTTCCTGAGGCCAGGGCTGGGTCTTGGTCCACCTGGGGCTAGGTGAGAGTCTGGAAGACTGTCTCTTCTTGTGTCTGGTGTCAGCCTTATTCCCTAAGTGAGGTGTGATAGTAGCCAATTCCCGACACCCATCCTTCGGGTATTTTTTGTGGGAGGACTGGGCCTCAAGCCTCATGATCCCCAGAGTCTGGTAGGATGTGGCCTAGCCTTGAAAGTGAGTGCTGTGTGATGTCAAGGGCACTTGCAGGGGGTAGGGGAGCAACAAGGAGGAGTCATTTCCTGGGGGTAGAGGAAGCCTGCAGTCCCTGGAGCCATCTTCCACTCTCTGCCTAGGCAACAAGCCCAGAGTCCGGAGTATCCGCTTTGCAGCAGGCCATGATGCGGAGGGCTCCCAGAGCCACGTCCACTTCGATGAGAAGCTGCATGACTCGGTGGTCATGGTCACCCAGGAGAGTGACGGCAGCTTTCTGGTTAAGGTATGTGCACGGCTCCCCTCCCCCATTAGTCTTACTTCCTCCACCTCCTTCTCAGCCCTGCTTGGCTTCCTGGGCCTGTCAGTTCCACATCCTCTAAGCTGAGGCCTGGGTTCAGGTCCAGGTCTGCTAGTCAGGCTCCGAGACCTTGGGCAGTTCACCTCAGCTTCCTGTTCTCTGAAATGAAGACAATTCACATCCCATAGAGTTGGTTCGAGAATAAAATGGAAGAATGTATGTATGTTACACAATTGGGAGACTCATTATGCTAATAACAAGGTATGACTTTATTTTCCTTTTTTTGCCAAACCGCTGGCTAATTCAGCCCCATGTTTTCTGGTCTTTGGAGCACACCTTCTCCTATTGCTCACACTTTACACACCCTCCAGTGTGGCTTCTCCAACTTTTGGGACACTGTTGGATCCCATATCCACTTGGGAGGGGCAGGAGAAACTCTCTGAAAGGAATGGATTCGGGGAAACAGAGAGTGATGCCCTCAGGTTGGACAATAAACCAGAGCTCCAAAGTTGAGCAGGAATGCCAGGGGAGGGGGGCATCTGGTCCATCGAGACCACCCCGAGGAGGGGCCCAGATTCATACCATTCTCTGCCCAATCCTTGCTCTTTCTCCTAGGACAACTTCCCCAAGGGAATAAACAGAATGAAATAAAACTTAAAAAAATAGCCCTGGCTGGTTTGGGTTCACATCGATGTTTCTCTCTCTCTCTCTCCCCTCCTACCCCCCTTCCACTCTGCCTGAAAATCAGTGGAAAAAATATCCTCGGGTGAAGATTTGAAAAAAATCTCTCCCTCTCCCCCACTCCCCATTGCAAAATCTATTCATGTCTATTACAGAAACTTTGGAAGATAGAGAAAACTATAAAGAAATTTAAAAGTACCCACAATTTTAGAATCTAGAAATAACAATGGTTAATATTTTGATGTGTGTCATTCTAGTTTTTTTTTTTTATAGCTTTGTTTCCATAAACAAAAAGCTGGTATCACAGTGTAACACTGTTTTTTGCTTGCTTCTGTTGTGAACCGTCTCCTGCCTCTATCAGTAAATCATTTTCCACTAGATTCTACAACTGTATTCCATTATATGTATCATCGTTGATTTAGCTGCCTCCCTATTCCTGGTGTTACTGCTGTTTCTATTTCTTACTGTTAGATAGAGGGCAGTGATGAGTATTTTTTTGCACATCTTTGAGTGTTTCCCCTGGAAAATTCTGCAAGTGGTGCAGCTGCATCACAGGGCCATCCTTGGCAGGCCCAGCCAGAAAGCTCTCTGGAGAAGTGTGTCCTCCACCTGCAGAGTGTGGGAGCCACACGGACTGAGCTTTATCATGCACTGGCATCAGCCTGATCCCACTGAAAGGCTAAATGTTCCATGCGGCCAACCCCAACGGGCCCCCAGGGACAGGGCCCTCCGGCCCCTGAAAGCATGAACAGAAGAGTTTGTGTGCATGTGAGCTGTGGGTACAGCATGCACCTCTGTGCCTCCTGGACTGGCACTCGGTCAGCCTGCCTGCTCAGCAGCCACCTTGGCTTGTGACCCTTCATACGACTGGAGTTTCCAAGGATGGCGTCTATCCCAGAGGGCATCGGTTGCCAAGCACTGTATGAACAACAGAAATTGCTTGGACCCTGAGTCGGGCCTGTTGGACACAGTGAGCCTTTGAGTGGGCAGGCAGGCATCCATGTTTAGATGCCAGCAGGCAGGCAGGAGCCTGGGTTCAATGGCTGGTGCCAGGTCTGTGGGCCAGCTCTGGACTGACAGCTGGTCTCATGTCAGTTTCTAATTCTAAGCCAGCCTTCATTCTGTGCAATTTATGTTGCCTCATGCCTCCACGTGAGTGACTGGAGGACCAGTGTCCCTGACCCAGGGCTGTTGGCTCTGGGCAGGTGATAGTAGTGATGGGGCAGGGGGATGGCCCCTTCTGGGCAGTGGCTGGTACCTTGCTCTGTGCTACTCATGGTAAGTGTGGCCAAGAGGCCTGTAGCCTGTCATTTCCCAGCATCCATTTCCTTGTCTATAAAATGGGCCATGGAGGAGCTGTGGGGCCCATGAGACAGATGCTGAGGAGTGTGTGGCCCAGCTGTGAGGTGAGGTCCTCGGGGAAAGACCTGGAGTCACCAGACTTGGGGTGTGGACCAGCTGGAGTGGGGGGGGGGGGCAGATAAACCCTCTAGGATCCCCAAGGAAACAGGTGCAAAGGCCCACAGGATCATAGATGGCATGGGCCCTGGGGGAGGCTGTAAGTGAAGGTGCTTCCTTCCTCCACCCTTCCTGCTGCAGGTTGGCTTCCTGAAGATCCTGCACAGGTATGAGATCACCTTCACTCTGCCCTCGGTGCAAAGGCTGAGCAAGGACGTCCGAGAGGCACCTGTGCCCAGCCTGCACCTCAAGCTCCTCAGCATCATGCCTGTCCCAGAAGGTGCGTCCTCTGCTCAGGGTGCTGGAGGCTTGCCTTCCTCCAGCAGGTCCTGGGTGTGAATGGGAGTGAGAACATGGGATGCTCTTTCCCCCCCACGTAGTGGGGACAGGCAACTCAGCAGCTGGGAACATGGCGCCTTCTATATGGGCTTACAGTGTGGCAACTTGGCAGGTCCCTTGCCCCAGGCCTCACTCCCTGGACAGAAGCCCATGGGCTCACACTGTTGGCCTATGTCTGCCCCACTGCCTGATAGTTCACTCACTGGGATGATGGGAGCCACTGAAGAACTGGCTCTGGACCTTCAGACCTCCCTCCTTCATGTCCCTCAAGAGTAACCTGCTGGAGCCTTAGGAACTTCAAGGCTCCCTCCTAGCCCCCACATGGGCTTTGGGCTGGGGGCTGCCTCTCCCCACCCTGCTAGCTTCAGCCCCCACTCCCTCCATAGGCTAGGGCAGGGGTCCTCAAACTCCGGCCCGCAGGCCACATGCAAATACAAATATTGTATTTGTTCCCATTTTGTTTTTTTACTTCAAAATAAGATATGTGCAGTGTGCATAGGAATTTGTTCATAGTTTCTTTTTAAACTATAGTCTGGCTCTCCAACGGTCTGAGGGACAGTGAACTGGCCCCCTGTTTAAAAAGTTTGAGGACTCCTGGGCTAGGGCATCAGTTTCACTATGTGCAGAAGCCCCCAGCTTCAGTCACATGTCCCCCCACCTCCTCATGACCTTACCCTTAAGTGGATTGAGCAAACTCCCTCAGGCCTTTGCCTCTTGCCACCGAATCTGCTCAAGTCCTGGCCTGCCCACCCCCACTTTCCAATCACTCCCTCTCCCTGCCTGCCTTTTTGGGGAATCAGCAGTCCCTCCTCCTGGAAGCCTAAGTTTGATCCTTGGAGCCTTAATGGGGTGGCCACAGGCCTGAGGCATGTAGAGTTCATTGAAGAATGGGAAATTTCTCACGCCTGTGCCCCAGCCTCAGGGGCACAGGTCCTAGACTATCCTTGCTCCTCTGGAGGAGGGGGCCAATGAGTGCTGGGGGCAGGGGCTGGAGGCCATGGAGTTGCTGATTGCCCTGACAGGTTACAGCGTCAAGTGTGAGTACACAGCGCACAAGGAAGGCGTCCTCAAGGAGGAGATGCTGCTAGCCTGTGAAGGTGGCACAGGCACCTGTGTGCGAGTGGTGGTGCAGGCCCGCGTCATGGGTGAGAGCGCAGGGTGTGCATCTGGCTAGGGGAGGGAAGCGCCTGTTTGGCCAAAAGGGGATTCTGCCTCCCTCCTGTCTGAAAAAGGGATCCTTGCCATGGCTGGGGTTCCCCGCTTCCTTGTTGAGTGTCTCCACCCCCCCTCCCCTCAATAGAGCCCAGAGAGAAGGTGGGGGGTCCTCTTGGAATGGGTGGGGCCAATGGTCCAGCCTGGCATGCTGACTTGAAGCCTGCCTTGCAGACCGGCACCATGGCACACCCATGCTGCTGGATGGAGTCAAGTGCGTGGGTGCTGAGCTAGAATACGACTCGGAACACAGCGACTGGCACGGCTTCGACTGAGGCCCATGCCCCCGCCCACCTTGGGGCCCCTCAGCCTTAATCTCCACCTCATCTCCCCAAATGCTGCATGATGGTGTGGCTTCCTCATCTGTCCCTAGGATGGGCATGGGGGTGGTGTGTCTAGGAGCCTCTAAGCTGGGGCCTTGCCCACGCCTCACCTCTGCCTTCATTCATGCCACCTCCCTGCCTCTCCTGTGTCTTCCTCTTCCCACTTCCTCCTCTCCATGTGCCTCAGTCTCCTGCGGGAAGAAATGGGTTGAGCCCCCAAGGAGGCTATCTGAGGAGGGGTGGGGGAGGGGGAGGACCTAGGGTGGGTTTTACCTATCCCTCCCCACTTGCAAGCCATAGGAGCTCCAGCCAGGGCCTGGAGAGGAGGGAGCTGGCTGTGATGTTGTCATTTCCATTACTGCTGCTGCTGTCTCATGTAAGCCACCTCTCCTGCCTCCTCCCTCTCCCACTGCTGTCTATGGTGAGTGGAGGGAGGTGCAGTTCCCAGCTCCTGCACCCAGGTGTATGTCACTTGGTTTTTAAACAATGGTTGGGATGAAATCCTAAAGAAATAAAACTTTCAGTGGATACCAGAGACCAGTGGAATGTTTGTTCTTCAGGGTCCTGAGAACGCCCAATCCCTTAGACTCTGGGCCAAGGTAGTTCTGGCTAAGCGCCTACTCTTAGGAGGCAAGGGACTGTGTGGTATTACAGTGCCTCGTCCCCAAAGAGCTGTCTACAGGTGATGGCATTTTAGGCCTGAGAACAGTTGCCAAGAGAGTTCGGATGTGGAGGGCCCTTCTGCCCAGGCCAGAGAGAGGAGTTCTGTTTGGGATACTTGACAAGGAGACATCAGCATCCTCTTTCTGGTCAGTTCCCAGCCCCATGCACAGCTGAAAGCTTTCTCCCTTTTTTCTGGAACACAGGCCCCCTCTACTACATAACTGGGGTTCCCTCTTGTGAGGTACCAGCATAAATGCTTTATTGTCACCTCGGGCAGGTAGCGCTGTTGCATGTCCTGGGCGGGCATAAGGGCACATTGAGTTGTCTGGCAGAGCTGAGACAGGCCTTAGTGTCCCCTTTGTCCTCCTAACGCCCCTCCCCCATTTTGTGGCTGGGATAGGGTTCAAGTGGGTCATTCACAGGTTGCCCTTGGAGCGGTCATCTGTCCCAAAGGAAAGCCTGCCCCCAGCATGCTTCCCACATTCCCTCACAAGTGCCTTCACCCTGTATGCTTCTCATTAGCCTGCTACTGCCCTTTCTACAATTAACAGTCATACCTGGGTGGTCAGCACCACCCCAGGAAGGCCCTACTACCCCTGTCCCTCTTGTGTCAGCTTCCAGTCATTTTCCTGTGGTACCGGGCTGCTCTGCCCTGCTCCCTGTGTGGCTTGAGCCCACCGATCGGTGCATTGCGCCCAGTCCCAGCCAAGCCCCTTCCTCCTGCTGCCCCTCCGCTATGGGCCTTGCCTGGCCTCTCCCTCCCAACTGCATCCACCCCCCACCCCCAGTTCTGGCCAGGATCCAGTCATCTGGAGCATTCTGCCTTCGGAGTCACGTGTTCCCTGTGGGTGTCCCGATCAAGCCTCCTTGACCCCAGTCCTTGGCAGGGCCCTTCAGCCTTACAGTCAGTCTGGGCCTAATCCCAAAGCCAGAGCCTCTGGATGTTTCTCCACCCACCCTCCTGCGACCTCATGCCCCCCCCCCCCCCCCCCCCCCGGCAGGAGGGCGGGGTAAGGAGCGCTGATACCAGAACTGGGATGTTTGTACGCCCTGGCCGGGTCCCCTGCGCCCCGGACCGGAAGTGGGCGGGGCCGGACAGAGCCTGGCTGACCGCGCGCCCCCGGCGCCTTCAATTGGAAAGAAAGTCAATGGAGGCTCGCACGGAGCGATTGGTGCTGACGTCGACCGCGGTGACCTTAATTTCGGTGTCGCCAAACTGCATGGCGGCACGGATCTCGCGGCGGCCGGGGGGCGCACCGGCGGCGTCGGGGCCGCCGTCAGCGGGCGCGGGTTCGAGCTCGAGGTTGAGCGCGCCACACTTGCGCACGCCCGGGTCGGTGATGAAGCGCGCGTCCTCGGCGGCGCAGCAGTACAGGTTGATGAGCACGCGCCGCTGGCCGGGGCGCGCCGGGCAGTAGCTGCGACGCACCTCCTCGCCCAGCGCCACCGACTGCTCCGCGGCCACGAAGCGCTCGAAAACGTCGGTGCACCAGCGGCGGCCGTCGCGGACCAGCAGCTTTTCCGGCGGGTGGCGCCCGTCCACGAAGCGGTTGAGCACGCCCACGCCGTAGGTGAGCGGGGAGCGGCGCACCCGCACCACCCCGGGCGCCTGCCCGAACAGCACGGCGCCCTTGAGGATGGTGAGGCCCACGTCGTGCGGGACCACCACGCGCAGGCCACGGGGGCCCAGCGCCGCCTGCACCGCGTGCTGCAGCACAGCTGACTCGGCGAAGCCGCCCACCAGGAACAGCAGCTTCACACCCTGCACCTCCGGCCGCGCCAGCAGCGCCTCTGCGGGAGGGGGTGGAGGTGGGGGAAGAGGAGGAGGGAAGGGGATGAGAGGGACAGCATGAGCTGCTGAGGCTACCACTGCGCGGCCACTCCTCCCCGCCTGCCTGGCAATTAGAAACTAGCCAGTTCAATTGTAAAACGGTTGCCCTATTTTGATGAAGAAAAACACGGAGCGCTTTCACTGAGGGCTCTGCCTCCCCAACAGTACACCCCTCCCCCACATGGAGGCCCCGAGAGGATATGCACCTGATAAATGCCTACTGCGCACAAGACACTGAGCTCTTTAGATACTTCAGCTCCTTTAAATCCCTGTGATAACGGTTTTGGGAACCCGATACTATCACCCCATTTTATAAATTGGAAACTGAGGCACCAGAGGTTATTTAACTTGGTAAGACTACACACAGCCCCTCCTAGCTCTTATTTCCCAACGCACTGACTCCTCCAGGGTTCCAGATGACTCTGGGTCTCATTCCGGTGTATGGATGTGTGGGGTTTCCAGGCAGTAACAGAGGCAGCTGTTCCCGCACCTGGGTGTGTGTGTGTGGGCAATGGAGGACCCGAGCTCAGGGCTCACCTATGTGCTGGATGATCCCGCTGACGGTGGGCTGGAAGAGCTCGTTCATGGCTTCGCAAGACATCCTGAGCATCCCCTGTGAGGACCACTTCACGAAGTTCACGCTGCCGGTGAAGGGGGCACAGGTCCACACGTCAGGGTCCTGGGTACCACTGTTGGCCCAGGCCTACGTGCCTGGGCACTGACTGCACGTTATGTGTTACCCCAATCCCCACTCTCCCAGGGGCTTCAGCCAGGACCTGCTTCTGTTCCAGGCATGAGGTCCCGGGAGAGGAGCCTCCCTAGCCTCCTAGCACGGTGTGTGTGTGTGAGTGTGTGTGTGAGTGTGTGAGTGTGTGAGTGTGTGTGTGTGAGTGTGTGTGAGAGTGTGAGTGTGTGAGTGTGTGAGTGAGTGTGTGTGAGTGTGTGTGTGAGTGAGTGTGAGTGAGTGAGTGTGTGTGTGTGAGTGTGTGTGAGTGTGTGTGAGTGTGTGTGAGTGTGTGTGTGTGTGTGTGAGTGTGAGTGTGTGAGTGTGTGAGTGTGTGTGAGTGTGTGTGAGTGTGTGTGTGAGTGTGTGTGAGTGTGTGTGTGAGTGAGTGTGAGTGAGTGTGAGTGAGTGAGTGTGTGTGTGTGAGTGTGTGTGAGTGTGTGTGAGAGTGTGTGAGTGTGTGTGTGTGTGTGTGTGTGAGTGTGAGTGTGTGTGAGTGTGTGTGTGAGTGTGTGTGAGTGTGTGTGTGAGTGTGAGTGAGTGAGTGTGTGTGTGAGTGTGTGTGAGTGTGTGTGAGAGTGTGTGAGTGTGTGTGTGTGTGAGTGTGAGTGTGTGTGAGTGTGTGTGTGAGTGTGTGTGAGTGTGTGTGTGAGTGTGAGTGAGTGAGTGTGTGTGTGTGAGTGAGTGTGTGTGAGTGAGTGAGTGTGTGTGAGTGAGTGTGTGTGTGTGAGTGTGTGTGTGTGAGTGAGTGTGTGTGAGTGAGTGAGTGTGTGTGTGTGAGTGAGTGTGTGTGAGTGTGTGTGAGTGTGAGTGTGTGTGAGTGTGTGTGTGAGTGTGTGTGAGTGTGTGTGTGAGTGAGTGTGAGTGAGTGAGTGTGTGTGTGTGAGTGAGTGTGTGTGAGTGTGTGTGAGTGAGTGTGTGTGTGAGTGTGTGTGAGTGTGTGTGTGAGTGAGTGTGTGTGTGAGTGTGTGTGTGTGTGTAGGTGGAAAGGGGAGAGAAGATAGACGTTGGCCCTTTTCCCGAGGCCCATGATGCCCTTGCTCCAGTTGGGGCCGCTCTTCTAGCTGGGCTGCTCATGCTCCGCCCTCTGCCACAGGGCTGGCTAGAGCTGTGCTTTAGGCTGACTCCCACTGCTCCCTGCGGCCTACACCCTCCCTTATAGGGGCCTTCCCCATCCGCACACCCCGCCTGAGTCCATGGCCCCCAAGCACCTGCTCCTGCGCAGGGCCGTCTCCACGTTGTGGCCTCGCTGCTTTCGGTAGAAGTCGATGAAGGAGAAGGGCAGTGAGATGTTGAGCGCCCCCGCACGGTGAGGGCCTGCTGTGCGTTTGCGGGCTTCGAAGGCGATGGTCAGATCTACCCAGGCTGCTGGCCGTTGCCTTTTGAAGGTGGCAATGAAGTCCACGCCGAAGATACGACCCAGCAGCTGCTCGAAGGCCAGGTCCACGCCCACTGCGCCATAGGGGCCACCTGGGGTGGGGCAGGGGATGAAGGGGGGCGCCAGTGCAGACATCTGGCCATAGGGCATTGGCGGCTGGGTATCCAGGGCCGCTGCCTGGCTACTCACCCGACGCCTTGTAGAGCTCCTTGAGGGTGCCATGGGGCTGCTCCAGCTGGTGCACCGTCAGGTCCACCGTGCCTCCTCCGCAGTCTGCCACCACGTAGCGGTCTCCTGCAGCGGTGAGCGTGAGCACACCCTGTGGCCTGCCCTGCACCCTCAGCCCTGCGCCTCCTCCCGACCAGCCTCCAGCCCTGCTCCAAGGAGCTCCTGAGTCCTACTTGCAGGGGTGGCGATGTGGAGGTGTGAGAGGCTTCATTCAGGTTCTTGAACCTAAGGCCACCGGCTAGGGGCACGAGATATGTGTGTGTGTGTGTGTGTGTGTGTGTGTGTGTGTGTGTGTGTGTGTGTGTGTGGTGGGGGTTGGGAAGGTTGCAGAGGGCAGAGGGGGGGATGGTCCAGGGCTCTGCAACTCTGCAAGGAGCATGAGTTAGGGGCATGGTTGTGAGTGGGGTGAGGGTGCAGGTGACTGTGAAGGGACTGCCAGGTTAGACACAGCAGATGTTGGAGGGAGGGGTTTTTAGGGGCTGGAGCCAACTTCCTGAATGTTCCCTTCCTCCTATCAGTATATAGGGGCCTGGAGGGCCCAAGACATATCCCGACATCTCCTGGTCTCCCCACCTGCTTGCAACTCTGCCCACAGCTCTCCGACCCCCGACTCCACCAGGAACGTGCGGCTGTGGCGGGACCTTCGCAGCTGCTCGCGGGCTGGGGGTGGAGGGGGAGCAGGGCAGTGAGGTTAGAAGGAGGTGTCTCAGCTACCACGCTCAATCCTCATCCTCCCGCCAGCGCCCTCCATGAGCACCCGGCGCTCCTGAAACTCCTGCTCCACTCCTGAGTGGGAGAGGGGGTGCTGACCCCCTAAGGGTCTGGAGGAACCTGATGGGATGATCTCCTGCTCAGTAACCAACAGCTGAGGGGAAGCACTTCTGGTGCAGGGCCAGGGCTCAGGCTGTGGAAAATCTGGGCTGGGAGGGTCTGAAGGAGCTGCGTGTGTGTGTGCCGGTAGGTCTTGTGGGACCCAGGGAGGCCAGGACTTGGAGCCTCTCCCTGTCACAATGAACAAGGCCGACTATAGCTGTCTCAGTGCCTGGTCCTGCAGCAGGAGCTTGGGGCTGGTGTGGGGGGTGGAGGGGAGCCGCTGATGTGCCATGAGGGGGGCAGAGGATCCAGGGGTTGTTTAGGGGAAAGCGCCTGAAGACCTCCCTTGGCTCAGAAGGGGGCTGACGTCCTCCTTGGTCAGTACCCAAGCACCCCTCCCCAGGGTAGGCTATCTCCCCAGACCCCAAACTCAGGGCTGGGCTGAGTCCTCCCTCCTCGGACAGTCCTCCCCTAGGGCAAGGTGAAACCTCTGCCCTGGGATTGGGCTCCCCCTGGTCAGGGCTGTGCCTCCCCATTCCACCGGAACTCCAGGTAGGATATTTCTGCCCCCTCGTGGGCTGCTCCAGGGGAGGCGGGCCTCTCCTCCATGCTGGACAAGGCTGAGTCTCTGGTCTCAGGGGCCCTGGAGATGGCTCACCTTGTCGGAAGCTGGAGTCGATGGAGCGGCGCTCGCCCAGGCGCCCGCTGCCTGGGGCCCGGCAGCTCAGGTCTAGGAGCTGGTGCAGACGCAGCTTGCGGCAGTAGACCGAGGCGGCCTCAGGCTCCAGGGCGATGAGCAGTTGCTCTGCAGTCTCTCTGGACACCAGGCCCGCCTGGAGATAGGTTGTGGGCAGGGCCAGGAGCACCGTGGGCTGTCACACCTAAGATGGCGCCCAGGGCAGGCACCCAGGGCCTGTGGGGGCTCCCATCTCCCCATCACACCCCACGCATGCTAGCCCTTCAGGCCCCGGCATGCTGCACAAATTTGGAGCTGCCCCACAGTTGCCCTGTGAAGAACACCAGGGGGTTGCCCAGCAGGGAGAGACCCTAGACAGAGTGGAAACCTTGAGCACCTTGGGATCTGGCCCTCTGAGCTGCCCAAAGGGCCTGGGCTGCAGCAAGGTCCCCTTCACAGGAGCAGGGCTGGCTGGCCAGCTGGGCACTGGCCGAGGGTGTTAGTGGAGACTCTAGCATAGTGTGTGTGGGGGGCGGGGGGCGCGGGGGAGGGGGAATAATGGGCAGACCATCAACCCAATGAGCTGGTGGGGACCCCTTTGGCTCACTGAGCCCTCCTCCTTCACCAGGCTGGTGTCACAGTGGCCACAGGCCTCCCCACTCCCAGGGGAACTTTGTTTCTGGGGAATCTCATGTAGGAGGAAGGAAACTCCTAGTGAAATTCCAGGCACCAAGACAGGCCAGTTGGGGGGAGAAAAACATTTGGGAGCTGTTACTTCCTGCATCAGGATGGGGGAGTCCCTGTGCAAAGTCTTTTATGAGTTTGTGGGATTCCCTGGATTCTGACGAGATGGGGGGTGGGGAGGGGTAGGTTTCCAGACTTCCTGCCAGGGCCAGCCCTTCCTGAGCTGGCAGCCAGGGAACGGTGTGGGAGGAAGCAGAATGGGTAAACTGGCAGGAGGAGGGGCACTATGGCTGGGGGTGTGTGTTTGTTCTAGCTGGGCACATCCTTGCTTTCATTCTGGTCTTTGCAGGGGGATGCCCACTAGGCTTAGGGTTAGCTTCTTCCAGTGACAAGCATAGGCACCTGGGCACATGCCTGACCCATAGGGGGCCCTGGTATCCTCCAAGGGGTCTACAGGCAGCCCCGAGACCCCTTTTGTAGGTCCTAAGGCGTCCTCCAGAGCCCCAGGGTCAAGACCAAGCAATGAGTCTTGCTCTGGAAGGCTGTTCCCTTTTCTCCCCCCATCTCTACTAGAGAGGCAGTGCCTGAGCTCCACCCATCTTTCTCCAGACCTTTGGGTATCTCTTATGGTAGGAAAACCAGCAAACACTGGCCCAGACCACCTCCCTTCAGAGGTTCCTGTGCTCAGGAACTCACAGTGGTTGGGGCAGTGGGGGTGGTGGATTCCTGAAAATACTGACGCTGGATGAAGTGCATGTTCTGAGTACTCTGCCCAGCTACTGGGAGTGTGGCTGCTCTTGGCTCACAGCTGCCCCCTTCTCTGGAGCTGCCCTCAGCTGAATGGGAACCGCCTCACTTGGAGAGGATCCCCCTCTACCCAGTAACCAGTAACAAAAAGCTGGCCCCCTTGCCTCAATGTGGCCAACACGGGGGTACAGTTCTCCCTCCAGAGCTCTCCACGGCGTCAGGCTGAGGTCACACTCCACAGCCCTGCTCAGCTTCCCTCACCCCCAGAGAGCCCTTCTTCAACAGACGAACGCACAACTCCCATCCTGGGTTCTGCTTTTAGGAAACCTGACCTAAGCCACTGGCTAAGCTGGCCTGGGCAGGGCCTCTTGTCCCTCAGTCCTCTGTTCCTGCAGCCACCTCCTTCCCCCAGTGGCAACAAACCGCCAAAATGCCCAGCAGGTAAAGGCTGGAGGTCTTCCCACAATGCATGTCTGGTCCCAAGGGTGGTGGGTGAATGAGGGGATGTATGGGGCCATCCCTGGGGCCCTCCTGAGCAACATCCACCCCTCTGCCTGCGTGTCCTCACCAGGTAGGCAGCCTCCCGCATGAACTGCTTGGCGGGCTGTTTCCAGATGGCGGGCACCGTCAGCACCCAGCGCACAGTATCCTTCTCCGGCAGCGAGGGGCACTGCTCTCTCAGCTCCTGGAGCAGGAGGGGCAGTGAGATGAGCGGCTGGCTTGAGTGGGGTGTCCTCAGCCCTCTGTGGGAGCTGGAAGAACTAATCAAGCCTCAGGAAGGGCTTTCCAGCAGAGTTGGAAAAATCCCTAACGCTAACCCCCTCCACCAACACATATATGGCCCACGCAGGCTCTCCCAGACAAGAAGGCAGGGGAGTGGAGAAGATGACCTCTGACCTCTGCCAGGGGCTAGGGATGGCTAAGGGGAAAGGGTGGGCCTGGGGATGGGGCCGCAGCGCACCTGAAGAGCATGCTCCTTGAAGAAGCGCAGGGCATGGGCGAACACCTCCAGGGCAGGCATTTTCTTTCCATTTACCGCCTCCAGCTGGGTCTTCAAGGTGAGATCCTGGCAGGGACACAGGGCCACGCTGCAGAAGGCCGTAGTTCTGCCCCCATTTCCTGACGACCTCTCTCTTAAAACCACCCCATTTCCTGGTGCTTATCCTCTTGGGCACCGTCCCACTTGCTCTATAGTCTCACTTTAGTTCTGTCCCCAGCCCCTCTTTAGCCCCGCCTCTCCGCTAACCCTATCCTCACCCTCAGCCACGCCTTCATCCCTTCTTTACTTCCAAGCTCCGTCCTTCGCCACCACACCCTACCCACCCTCCATTAGGCCCGCCCCTTCCCCTCCTGACCCCCTTCCCTGGCTGGAACTGGTCCTGAGCCAGAATGTGACTCACAGTGGCGCTGTGGATCTTCATCTTGAACTTCTCGAAGTAGAGCCAGTCCCGAGCCTCCTCGGGGTCTAGATCATGGTAGTAATCACGGGCAGTGTAGCCAAAGCTGTGAAAGGCACCCTCCGGGGTCAGCAGGAGGCAGGTGGGGGTCTTCTGGTGCGCCACGCCGGGGTCCCCGCCCTCCCATTTCCTGTAGAGACAGGGCTATCAGTGGGGTCAGCAGCAACCCTCACTTGGGGGGGGGGGAGGGTTGGATAATGGCGTTGGGGTGAGCTGTGTGACCTTGGCAGGCCACTTAGCCTCCCCCAGTCTCAGTCTTCCCTACTGTAAAATGGGAATAATAACAGTACCTGCCTCAGGGTTCTTGTGAAAAGAAAGATGGTGCTTGGAATCCAGTTAAATCTCCATGAATGCTGCTCTTGGGTCCTCCCTATTCATGGGGCTTCGGGACGCACCCGGCATTCTGGGTTCCCTTCATCATTTGACCTGTCTCCCTGCACCCTTAACACGGAGCAGCAGGCCATCATCCATCCATCTGCCTGGGTCTGGCTTCCTCATGTGTCTCTCCAGCATCCTAGCAGAGGCCTTCTCCCTGCCAGCTAGTTCGCCTCGCTCAGGGCCGTCCTCCACTGCCAAGCTCCTTTAGGGCATTCATGACATTCCTGTCTGACCCACCTCAGCAGCAATACCCCAGCTGACTGCACCTCTGCCAGGTCCCCCAAAACCTGAATGACATTCCAAACCTCCCTATTCACAGGCACATGCAGACCGCCACCCAGAACTCCCTGCCCAGTTCTTTGACCTGGAAATCTTCCCTGGTTTCCTGACTCCTCTAGGCCACGCTTGCCACTGTGGCCCTTTGGGGAAGGTACTGGGAATCCAGGTAGAAGAACAGTATGTGCCAACGCTTAGAGATGTGAAAGAACAGGAGAACTAGCTGTAGGTTAGCTCAAAATGCAGCAGGAGAAAAGACAGGAGTGTTAAGGTCAGCTAAAGAACATCAAATGCCGTATCGGAATTCTCTCTTGCTGGGGGTTAGGTTGGGGAGTGAAGAGGCATGATCACAGTGGCCTTGAGAAAGGTGACAGGTCCCCATGTAGCAACAGCCTGGAGGGGAGGGAGGGCAGAGAATAAAAACCATCCAGGTGAGAGAGGGTGGTGGCCGTGGAGAGAAGTGGATGGGTACTCCAGAGATAGTAAGGAGACAGAAGTGATGGGACTGGGTGGCTGGTAGGGGTGGGGAAGGCTTGGGAGGAGGCCAGGACGTCCCCCAGTGACTTCCTGTGACTGTCACCTCCACAGGACAGAGGCAGTGTCCCTTCATGTGTCCTTGGCTCCAGCATGGGGCGCAGCGTGGCCTCGGCTGCCGTGTGCTGACCCTGGGGGACTGTGAGTGCTCAGAGCCGTTGTGGGTATGGGGGAGCAGAGAAAGGGGAATGACAGTCCAGGCTCATGAAGGTCAAGTCCCGGTACCTGTGAGGCAGGGACCTGACTATCGGTCTCTCCATCCACCCTTCCATCCAGCCTCTGGGGCCCTGGGCAAGTCCCTGATCCCCCATTCCAGTCTGAGTTGGGAGCTTTGGGGTCTTCTAGAGCTCCACCTATTGGCTGCAGCCCCACTAAGACACACTCTAAGGATCAGGGTCTGCAGGGCTGGAGGGAGTGTTTAAAGAAATGTTTTGTTCAACTAAAACTCGACATCAGGATGGATTTTTTGATCATCTCTTTCATAACAACTGTGTGACTTGCGTCAACTCGGTTAGCCCTCTGGTCCTTCAGGTCCTTGTATTTCATTTGAGATGTCGGACCTAGGAATCTGCCTCTAGCAATCTGCTCCATAGAAATCTCAGCACAAGTTTTCAAGGAAGGAGATTCCTTGCAGCATTATTTTTGTAATAGTGAAAAATTAGAGACCCCCCCAAAACAAACAAACAAACAATCAGTAGAATAATGGGTAAATTTTGAAACATCCATACTATGGAAAAACTATGCAACTGTTAAAAAGAAAGTGGTAGCTTTATGTACTGACATGAAATGTCTACAGAATAGTGTTGAAAGTTTAAATTAGGCAAATTGGCCCTGGCCAGTGAGCTCAGTTGGTTGGCATCGTCTCATGTACCAAAAGGTTGCCAGTTCAATTCTGGTCAGGGCACATGCCCGGGTTTCAGGTTCAATCCCAGCAGGGGGCGTGCAGGAGGCAATCGATGAATGTTATGCTCTCATATTGATGTTTCTCTCTCTCGCTCTACCTTCCTCTCTCTCTAAAATCAATAAAAAATAAAAAAGGCAAATTGTATGATATTCCATTTTTATTTATTTATTTATTTTTTTTAAAAAAATATATTTTATTGATTTTTTACAGAGAGGAAGGAGAGAGATAGAGAGCTAGAAACATCGACGAGAGAGAAACATCGATCAGCTACCTCCTGCACATCTCCCACCGGGGATATGCCCGCAACCCAGGTACATGCCCTTGACTGGAACCGAACCCAGGACCCTTCAGTCCGCAGGCCGACGCTCTATCCACTGAGCCAAACCGGTTTTGGCGATATTCCGTTTTTATTTAAAACACACAAATATTCATACATATATGTGTGTACTAGTAGTATGTGTTTGTAAGCAAGCCCAGATATTTGTGTACTTTCCTGTATGTTTTTTATATCTCAATAAAATGTTTTAAAATTAAAAATAAAGCCCAACATTTCCTGCAGAGGGCAGGGAACTGCTCCAATGGAGGCTGGGGGCACAGGCCAAGGGCCATCCTCCAAACTTTTACCCCAGAGGGGAGCCCAGACTTGGGGTGGCAGGAGCTCTGAGAGTACCCCATGTCTCCTCAGTGACAGTACTTCTGGGACCAGGCCCAACCCCTCTCCCCCGACCCAATCTCACAGCCCAGTGGCCCTCACCTCATCATGTGGATGGCCTCAGGGTCACTGGAAAAGCTGAAGGCATAGCCACTGGAAGTGGTACCGAAGTCGATGGCCACCACCACAGAGAAGGAGGCCTGCTGGGGGGCTCGGGCCTCAGGCTTCTGCAAGTGCAAGACCTAGAGTTAGGGAGCAGCCCAAGGGCTAGGCTGGGTGTACATGGGAGCCCCCACCCCCTTTCCTGACTGAGGTCCAGCTCATCCCTGGTTCACCTCCTCCCACCTGCCTGCTTGGGCTCCCCTCCCTTCCCAGGCTCCAGGCTGATCCCTGGAGATGCCAACTGCCTCTCAGGCAGCCCTGCGCAGCTTTTAGCTCAAGCTCCTGTTTTCCTGGCTCCTGGTTCTCTGCCCACCTTCTGTCTGCACAGCCTTAGCCCACCCCCATCTCACACCATTTCACAGCCCGGGTCCAGCTGTGGGCAATTACGCTCCTCCTGGCAGCTTCACAGCACATGGACCTGTGTATACTTGACCCTGTGCTCTCTGTGGCCACAGTGACACAACCAGACTGTCGGTTTTGTGGCAGAGGGGAGAGGCCCCGTGCACGTGCCCAGAGCGGCCCCTGCCTTCTCCTAGGCCTGGCTCCCTGAGAACAAAGGGGCCCCCAAGCTCGATAATTTGGGTGAGGCTGTCTGGGGTGAGATGACCCAGCGAGCTTGGGGGAGGGTTATGTCCTGGATAATTCAAGCTAGTAATTTCCAAACTCTGTATTTTTTAGCAGTGTGTCTCCTCTTCCTCAGGTGGGGCTATACTAGACAGGAGGGGGGCGGGGTAGCCCTGGGAGGGCCAGTGCAGACCCTGAAAAAACCATATGCTCAGAAATACGCCTGCCCCCGGCAGGTGAGCTGCAATAGCCCCTGGATGTCATCCTGGAGCGGGTATTTGGGTGTTAGTACTGGGGCTCACCTCAATAGAATTGTTACCCCTTAAGTGCAAGGTCACGTAAGGGTAACCCTTCTGCAGAGAGCATGACTGAGGTGTGCTGGGGCAGGAGGCACAGTGGTACCCCCAGCCCTGCCCCGGCCCTGCCAGGTCTTGTTTTCTTGAGCACCAATCCCCCTCCACACCACTCTGGACACCCACCACCCAGATGCCCACACCAGGCTTACGGGAGACTGCGAGGGTGTGAGGGGGGCAATGCCACAGCTTTCCTGGGTCCTTGGGGAGCCGGGTGGGCTGGGGATGGGGGACCGTTCTGGGCTGGAGCCTGCAAAGAGAGGGGAAGACATTGTGGCACAATCAGGGTAGGGGGCTGGCAGCTGGGCCCCAGGCCTGGGAGGTTCTCCCATCGGTCCTTGCTGGGCCAAGGCAGGGGTGCCCTGCTGAAGAAGGGGGATGGGTGGGAGGGGAAGAAGGATGAGACTGAACAGGGACACCTGAGGCAGGAGCAGGCTGAGGGTGACCATCCCTGGAGGATGACCCATGCCTCACCTGGGGACTACTCATCTCCCCCAGCACCCCTCAGACACGGGGAGGGGAGGAAAGACCGAGAAGCAGCGTATGTGGGGGCAGACTGAGTGCAGAGATAGAAGAGCAGGAAAGATGGGGTGGGTGAGCTCCTGCCTGGGGTCGGGTAGAAGGTGGAGAAACCAGGAAAGGTGGGGGAGCTACAGACCTAACTGCTCCCCTCCCCCTAGAGTTCAGCCACATGGTTCTCAGAACCTGAGAGAGCAGCCCCCTTCTACTAGTAAAGACACGTTAAAAGATCTTGCCTGGGAAGTATTAACCCACCCGCCGTATTTACCAGACCTTGCTCCTTCAGATTACCACTTGTTCCGGTCGATGGCACACACACTTTCCGAGCAGCACTTCAAAACGTACGAAGAAGTGGAAAATTGGGTCTCTGAATAGTTTGCCTCAAAACAAGAAAACTTCTTTCTATTGGGGCGGTATCCACAAATTACCTGAAAGATGGGGAAATGTGTAGCTAGGGATGGACATTACTTTGAATAAAGCACTTTTGATGTTTCTCTTGAAATTATCGTATTTTCTCTGATTACAAAATCCGTATTAACCGGTTAATAATGCAGACTGGCTATTAACTGGTTAATATTGCCAATAGAACTTTTCTTGTTTTGAGGCAAACCATTCAGAGACCCAATTTTCCACTTCTTCGTACGTTTTGAAGTGCTGCTCAGAAAGTGCGTGTGCCATCGACCGGAACAAGTGGTAATCTGAAGGAACAATACAACAAAATAGCATAGATATCAAATCGCATATATATCAACATATGTGTAACTTCATCTATTGAAAAACATCTGCATTATTAACCAGTACACCCAGTACTCCCGCCAAGGGCCAAAGACAGGCCCAGCTGGCTGCCTGTGAGGATCACGGCAGGGCAGCACCGCCTCAGCCCAGCCCTGAGCTGAGGGGTGTTCACAAAAATAGGAAGTGAAGCCCAAGTCATCCCCCGACCCCCCCAAACAACACATGCACGTGGAGCCAGCATTGGGGGGCATGAGGCCCCAGTGAGCCTCTCTCACAGGCCCAGGACTGAGCTGGGCCTTCAGTGGAAGGAAGCAACACAGCCCCAGAAGGCAGCCCAAAGCCTGGCTTGGAGGCTCAGGCAGCTCAGGGGTCTGTCTGCTAGACATCCCCCAGGTGTGGGCTGGTGGCCTGTCACCACCACTCTGGGCTTTCCTAGGGCTCCTGTGAAGAGGACTGGGGCTGCCCTGAGATTCAGGCATGGGGATGAGGGGGCTGATGGAGTCTGGCATAAAGACCCACGGACAAAGCAAATTGTCTGGCTTCAGGCTGAGCCGGGGCCCAGGGCCTGTGCTCCCTCAGCGGCTGCCCTGGCGGTGGCCCTGACAGCTCCCAGCCCTTTCTGGCCTTGGGTACCCTGGGAACATATGTGAGGGGCAGGAAATGAGGGGGACTCTAGAAAGTGCCTGGGACAGGGCTGGAGTCTGTCTTGGGGTGCTGGAGAGGCAGGGCATTTTGGTCACACCCTCAGAGCTCCCTTTCCTCAGGCGACCAGCACAGGCTTAGGCCCTGCCGCCAGCTCTAGCTTGAAGGGCCAAGGCGCTGTGTGGTGTGAGCCTGGGAAGGGAGGCAGGAAGGAAGGCCCAGCCCACCAGGTCTTTGTGAGTGGACTTCCTGAGGAGTGTCCCTCCTGCCTCCTGGCCTCCCGCCCCTGCACACACACACACACACACACACACAGAATTCCGTGCATATAGACCTACTTGCAGATATACACAGTCTCACACAAGGCCCTGCACAGAGATCTGCCCACAGCAAACAGATAGATAGACAGACAGACAGAAACACACACACACACACACACACACACGCACACGCACACATGTGCGCGCGCACAGGGTCCCATGAACAGATATGTTCTGTGTGCACACAGGAGTGAAGCGTGCACAAACACACACACTTACGTACACAGTCCTGTGTGCACACACATACACTCTCAGGAACTTCTGGGAGAGGCACCCCTATCCAGACAAGGGCAAGTGGAGGGTGGGTGGGGGCAGAGGTGAGGGATTCTTACCAATGTACAGCCCCTGCAGGCCCAGCTCCGGGACAGCCAGCATCTTCGCAGGCCCTGAGGCTGTGAACAGGAACAGACATGCAAATAACATTTATTTGTTCCTTTGTTCCCTCATGGAATGCTTACTTGTTTTATTTATTTCTGGCTGGAGTCTTTTGAAGCAAATACCAGACACCATGTTGTTTCACCTATAAATTCTTCAATATGTCTCTCCAACAGATAGACTTTTAAAAACATTGCCACAGCACCCTTATCATGTGTAACAAAATTAATTCCTTAATCTCATCTAATGCTCAGTCCACCGTCCCAGCTTTTCTCAAAAAGGTCTTTTTTTAACAGTTGCTTTGTTGGAATCAGGATGGTCCTAAATGTTTTTGGTGCCCACTCTGTGCCAGGTGCTGGGGGACATCGGAGACAGACCCAGAGAGACACTGTCTCTGCCCCAGGGGCCCACAACCTGGCGGGGAACTGCTTATAATCAGATAAACACCCAAGTGGATTTGAGGTTACAAATGATGCAGCCAAGGTCACAGCTGGTTACAAGCGCGGCAGAGAGGAGAGCATGGTAAGGCTGGAGAGAGGGGCTGGCCTGGCCCGGCCCTACAGGCAGGCCCTCGCGGACCCTATTTTAGATTTGGTTTTAAATAAAGGGCAACAACAAATCTTGAACGTTTTTTAAAATATAGTTTTTAAATTGATTTCAGAGAGGAAGGGAGAGGGAGAGAGAGGTAGAGACATCGATGATGAGAGAGAATCATCGATCGGCAGCCACCTGCAGGCCCCACACTGGGGATCGAGCCCACAACCGTGGCATATGCCCCAACCGGGGCTCAACCGTGACCTCCTGGTTCATAGGTTGATGTTCAACCACTGAGCTACACTGGCTGGGCAATCTTGAAAGTTTTGAAGTGGCAGAGTGGAGGTGGGGGCATGACTGGATTTGCGTTTTTAAAAGTTCCTCTGGCTGCTTGGGGGTGTGGGTTGCAGTGGGACAGTATGGAAGCAGAAGCCCAATCAGGGCTCCAGGCGACTGATGATGCTCATTGCTGTGTATCTTGAAACAGAAGTAGGTACAATTAAGCTAGAGGTTAAAACCAACAGGGCTGATGGAGGTGGCAGGATTGGATATGGGGATTAGGAAGAAGTTGTCAAGGATGACAGTATCTGATTCAAACTGGCAGATGGGTGGTGAGATGGAGAACACTGGAGAAGGGCAAGCTCCCCTGACCCTTACCCTACCCACAGACACAGGCCTGCAGGGCCCAAGGGGCAGTGCTCCAGCTGGAGTTCAGGAACTGCCAGAGGAGCCAGAGGATATATGCTCTAGAGGCCAGGGAGAAGCTGAGGTGGAGATGTGTGTCTGGGGGTCACTGGCAGAAAGCAGAGTGGGGGAAGGGAAGGGAAAGGACCCTTTGCATAAAGGCTGACTCCAGAAGGTGGGCTGGCCGAGGAGACCTAGATGCCTGCTGTGGTTTCATGGCATCTCAGTTGTTAGATGAGACTGGAAACAACTGTGGCCCAGGGCTGCATTTGGGTGGAATGACGAGAAGGGGTGGGAGTCAGGTAAGCCTAGGTGAGGAGAGAGCAGAGGGTAGGTGAATGGAGCTAGTACTTCCAGGAAGGTGGCTGAGATCAGGAGCTGATGTATGGGCAATACCTGGAGGAGCAAAAAGCTTAAGGGGAGCTGCCCAGAGCCCACTCCCTCTCTGTAGCCAGGAAGTTTTGCTAATAGAACACCAACAGACACAGGTGGGCACTGTCATACCCCCCCCACACACACACATGCACATATACATCCTTGCTAATGCACAGTTCACACAACTCAGCCCCGTCATGCACAGACATCCAGGCATGCCCAGGATCATCCCACATGGCCAGCATCATGGAGATTTCCAGATACATTCAATCCTGCTATCATTGGAGGTGCAAAGTTGGATGTCCAGGAATCAGAATCAGGGGGAAAGACAGGGGCGGGTCATGGGCGTTCACAGAGCACAGAGCTGCTGAGAAAGGGAAAGCAAATAGATGGGGAGTGCACAGGCTTTGAGAGCCAAGGACAGGAGCCCAGTTCAGGGTGATGGAGTGGCATGCTGGAGCTGATTCCCACCAGCTGGCAAAAGCAGATTCTCTGTACCTCTTCCCAATTCCACATTCACTGCCATCACATTGGTAGCTTGAAATCAGCCATGGTGGGAGCATTTACATCACAGAAATTGGCAAACACTACAAATCTGGGTTTTCTCCCTTTTGTAGTGTTGACTGTAAAACATTTACCAGCACACAGTGGATCTAGGCCACAAAGGAGAAGCTGGCAGCCCTATTTGTACATCATTTCAATTCTTCAGCAAAAATTTACTGAGCGTTTCTTTGTGCCAAGTTCTGAACCAAGCGCCGGAGAAACACTTTGTTGAATGAATGGATGGATTTTCTGGACCAAGGCGATTATATCTGGAGGAGAAACAATCTAGAACCACCAGGAAAAAAGAGTTAGGAGTCGTCACTCTAAGCTGGATTCCACATCTAAACTGAGTGCCGAAACCGGTTTGGCTCAGTGGATAGAGCGTCGGCCTGCGGACTGAAAGGTCCCGGGTTCGATTCCGGTCAAGGGCATGTGCCTGGGTTGCGGACACATCCCCAGTGGGAGATGTGCAGGAGGCGGCAGATTGATGTTTCTCTCTCATCGATGTTTCTAACTCTCTATCTCTCTCCCTTCCTCTCTGTAAAAAAATCAATAAAATATATTAAAAAAAATAAAATAAATAAATTGAGTGCCTATAATCTCACCAGCTATCTGAAGCTTGTCCAGTTACCTTTCATTTCTGAGTGTGTGATTCACTGAGTGCCTTACACTGGGGTCTCAGGGCTGGCAAGGACCTATTACGGCATCTGGGTGGAGTGTATCCTGGTTGCCTCTCTGTGCCCTGGTGCCTTTTCTGCAAAATGGGTCGAACGGGGGGCTTGTGAGGATCAAGTTCAGGTAAAAAAGGTGGTTGAGCCCTGGCCAGTTTGGATCAGTGGATAGATCATCGGCCTGGGGACTGAAAGGTCCCGGGTTCGATTCCAGTCAAGGGCGGCTTGATCCCCAGTGGGGAACGTGCAGGAGGCTGCCATATGATGTTTCTATCTCTCCCTCTCCCTTCCTCTCTGAAATCAATAAAAATATGTTTTTTAAAAAGTAGGTGGTTGACAAAAGGCAGGGAGTTGGACAGACGTGAATAGTATTCTTTCCCTTCATGATGTGTATTCTGCATTTCTCTTCTTAGAAGCTTTTGGTCTGATTGAGAGTTTATTCTAGTCATGCTTCATTCTTTAGGGAGGGAGGGAAGACCGGAATCAATTTGTGTTAAAGAAGGAGGATTCTGCCAGCTGGCATGGCTCAGTGGTTGAGCGTTGACCTATGAACCAGGAGGTCCCGGTTCGATTCCTGGTCAAGGCACATGCCTGGATTGTGGGCTCGATCCCCAGAGTGGGGCTGATCAATGATTCTCTCTCATCATTGATGTGTCTATCTCTCTCTCCCTCTCCCTTCCTCTATGAAATCAATAAAAAAATATTTTTTTTAAAAAGGAGGATCCTGCTGATTCCTTGAGAGGTGGAGGTGGAGGGGGTGGCAGCACCATCTGTCTTCAGGACATGCCCCCTCACCCCCATCATGCACACACACTCAGAACTATTTAAGGAGAATGATGAACATGGGGCTCAGGACCACCTCCGCTCCCAAAAGCTGTATGTCTGCGCAGAGTCCATGGCTGGAAATGGGGTGAGGAAGACGCTGTCCCAGGGGCCTGTTAATTTCAGATTACTGCTGCTTGGGTTTAAGAATCATTGGGTGGGGCAGTTTGATTTACACAGAAAGTAACTTCATTTCCTGACTACACGCACAGGCTAAACTCTGGCCCCAACCTGACCCTTACCCTACCCACAGACACAGATCCTTAACCCTGCCCATGCACTGACCCATTCTTGCCCGCGGACTGATGACCCCTGGCCCTTGACCTCATATCGGCCTCTAATCTTCAGCTTCACCATGACTTCTGGCACTGACTTCTATCCAACTGACATGATCAATCAGTCATTGGGGACCAGGACAGGGTGTGGCTGAGTAGGGACTTGAAACTGGAGATCCCCATCCTAGAGAGTCCCCCAAATCACAAGGCCTAGGACTTCTTGCCTGATGGAGAGAATTCTCCAAGGATCTATTCCTGGGGTGAGGGTGTCGAGGCTGGGGGCACGTGATGTTGCTGGATTTCAGGGCTCCACATGTACCTGTCCTCTGCCCATGAGGACAAAGAGCCCACCAAGATCTTTACAGCTCCCCCCTCTCTCCCACATATTCCAGCTTCTCCCACCCACTGCTCTCTCTCAGCCTCCTGCCAGCCCTTTAATGGCACAGGACTGGACTCAGCAGGCAAAGGGAGGCCACAGGCATGTCTCTCAAGGCAGAGAGTGGGCCAACCAGGGCCCAAGAGGCAGATCAGAAACTCCAAAGAGCTGCTCCAGTCCAGTCTCTCCTGGAGGGACCGGTGGGAGGCTGCCTCCTTCTGCACTGGGGCAGGGGTGACAGAAATGGCCCCTCCCGTCTTTCCATGCATCCTGCCCCACCCAGTGGGTCCTCATCATGGGAGCAGCCAGTTCATAAACAACCTCTGTCCCACAGAGCCGGGCCCTGAAGCCCCTCCCATCCTCTGCCCACCAGTCCCCCATCACCTCCCTTACCTTCTGGGGCAACTGGCTGCCTTTGCTCTCACAGGGAGTCCATATTTTAGCGCCCACTCCCTCCCAGGCTCTCTCCCCCACACAAGCCTCCCTCGCAGACAGCTCCACCGGCCTGCAGGGAGCCCAGACCCACCCCACCTGGACCCGGAAGCTAGCCTCACAGGAAAACCAGAGTTCCCCGCTCAGGAGGCCAGTCCACAGTCTGCAACTGTGGCACCCCGACCACCCAGCCACTCCAGACCTTCTGGGACCACAGGGCCCGGGACCAGCGCCCCTCCCATCCAAGATGCCCCCCAACACACACACACACACACACACACACACACACACACACACACACACACACACCAGGTATCTACCTCAGGTCTAGGCACCCTGCTCTCCACAAATGCGCCCCTGGTGCAGCCCCCAGCCTCACCCCCCACCCCCACCCCACAGCAAGGAGTCTGTCGGCCCCTCTGTGGAGCGTGCGGGGTCCGACGCCTGGAGGGGAGCCCACAGCCACAGCCCCGCTGGAGAGAGGGCCTTGCGATCTGTCCCCAACCCGGAGTCCCGGGCTCAGGAAGTCCCCGCAGGGTCTCAGCCGACAGCCCAGGACGGGGCGGCCCGGGGCCGGAGGGCTGACCTCTGCGCCTTTCTCCTCTCCGCCTGCCCCTCGCCCAGGACTCACCTCCGCCCTCCGACAGCGCGATCTGCCTCGCCCGCGACCGCACAGCCCGCGGCAGCGCCCTGAGCGGCGTCCGCAGCCCTCGACGTGCCCGGCCCTTCGCCGCCCGCCCGCGCCCCGCACCGCCCACCCCGCCCGCCGCCCCCTCCCCCAGGCCGGATGGCCGCGCGGCTGCGCCGCCGGGTGGGCCCCGCGCTCTCAGCCCAGATGTGCGAGGCCGGGGCGGGGCCTGCCTGCGCGGGGCCTCCGCCGAGGGGCCAGCCTGGCCCGGCGTCCAGGGCCCCTCCCCGAGCCTCTCCAGCGCCTGGCGGCCGGCTCCCCAGCAGCCCGGGGGGTGGGGTGGGGGAGAAGGGTGAGGAGCGGAGGGGGAGGGAGGGGAGAGGAATTCCATACCCCTGGTCGGCCTCCTGCGGCTCGGCGGCGGAGGGGCCCCCTGCCTCCCCGACAGGGCCACCCGGCCTCTGCTTAGGCAACCCACGGGGAGAGCCTACATGCTGGGGAGGGACAGCCCGCCCCAGGCCCCTCGCAGCACCCTGTCCCAGACCCCCAGGTCCTGGACCCAGACCGCCCACCTTGCCACCCCTAGCTTGGTCTCCAAGGGTGAGAGAGACAGGAGGCCCAACTGAGGGTGCAGGCAGCCCTTGGAGTGGGCCTGGCTCTGTCCTTGCTGAAGTCTGAGGCCTGGAGAGAAGGGTGCTCACCCGCTGGGTCCCCGCTGTCTAGAGGGGCTCACCCAGAACTCATCTTACCTCCTCTCCTGTGGGGTCGCACAGACTTCGTCCTGACCTAACCCAGGTCCTCTTGGGGATGCTGGGATGTGGCCTCCAAAAAGGGGGTCTGCAGGGTGGAGACCCCCTTTGCTGAGCCCCTGTAAGGCAGCTGACTGTGCCCCCAGGACCTCCTTTTTTTAAAAAAAATATTTTTATTGATTTCAGACAGGAAGGGAGAGGGAGAGAGAGACAGAAACATCAACAATGAGAGAGAATCATTGATCAGTTGCCTCCTGCATTGGGGCTGGAGCCCGCAACCCAAGCATGTGCCCTAACCAGGAATCGAACCGTGACCTCCTGGTTTATAGTTTGATCGATGCTCAACCACTGAGCTATTCCGGCTGGGCGAGTAGTTGTTATTTGATTAGAGAGAGAGAGAGAGAGAGAGAGAGAGAGAGAGAGAGAAAGAGAGAGAGAGAGACATCAATCCATCACCTCCTGTAGGCGATCAAACCTGCAACCTAGGTAAGTGCCCTGACCAGGAATGAACCTGCAACCCTCTGAGCCACTGGCAGGGCCCCAGGACCTCCTTGTTCAGGCAGGGCCTGAGCAGGCCCCTTCCCTCCACCAAATGTGCCGCAGAGGCTCAGGGTGGCTCAGCCCAGCTCTCCGCACGAAGGGACCTGGTCTCTGTCTGCTCTCCCAACCCCCTCCCAAGACAAGGCTCCCACAGTTCTTTGAGCATCACAGTTGCCTCCCACTCCAAACCATTTTTCCTCCCTCCTCCTCTCTGCCCAGCTAAAAGGCTCCCCAGCTAAGTTGTCACCTCCCCTAGGCTTGTTGTCCTTATTGGAGGGCCACAGCCCCAGAGCCACCTGCAAGGAGGTTGGGGGCAGGAGGAGTGCTGCACTAGACAATTTTGGATGTCACCACCTGGCCAGTAAGCCAGCCAGGTATCTAGTTAGCAACCTCCACTGGCTGCTCTGAGTGTGGGTATCTGTTGGTGTGGCAGCATGTGTATGTGTGTGGGTGTGTTTGCTTGTATCTGTGACTGTGTGTATGTGTATGCTTGTGTTTGAGTGAGTCTCTTGTGATGTATGTATTATTTAATATTTTTATTTTTTAATATATTTTTATTTTTATTGATTTCAGAGAGGAAGGGAGAGGGAGAGAAAGAGAGAGAGAAACATCAATGGTGAGAGAGAATCATTGATCAGCTGCTTCCTGCATGCCCCACACTCAGGATCGAGCTTGAAACCTAGGCATGTGCCCTTGACTGGAATCGCCCCGGGACCCTTCAGTCCATAGGCCGATGCTCTAGCCACTGAGCCAAACCAGCTAGGGCTGTGTGTGAGTGTTTCTATTTGTCTGTCTGTGAGTGTGTAACAAGTGTGCGATGGGGGCTGGCAGGCCTTCCTCTCAGTTCAGAGGTTGAACAGCCTGGGAGGATGGAAGTGTGGCTGTTTGTGAGTGCCCGGGGAAGAGGCGGAAGGTCTGGCCCCTCAAATGCAACCTGCCTCTTGTTTTTCATTTTTCCGCCCAGTTTTCCTCCATCCCCATCTTTAGCTCCGCAGATTGGCTCATCTCTGGGGGGCTGGCAGCAGGCTCTGAGCAGGAATGAAGACTCATGGGTGGGGATCTCTGGGCGTCCTCCTGCTTGGCCCTTCTGCCCTCCCCCTCCTCCATGTCAGGCCCCCTTAGCTCAGCCTGACTTGGGAGTCACAGGCCCCCACCCTTGGGCAGCTTCCAGTCTGACACAGAGGATAGCAAATAATCCCCATGAATCCTGCTCCAAGTTAGAGGAGGTTCCAGTCAATTGGCATCAGAAGGTTTGGGCCCAGGTGGGCGTGGACAAGTGGACAAGTGTCCTGCAGAGCCCCTGCCCTTCACTGTCCTCTCTGTGCTCTTGCATCTCCCTCCTCTTCCCTTGGGCGCCATTGTGGGCCCACCCGCCGACCTCAGCGGCTTCCTGCTTCTCCCCGTGGGGGCAGCACGAGGAAGATCAGCCTCTGAGAGTGTCCTCCAGGAGCCGTCTCTCTCAGGCCAGGCTTCCCTCCTCTGGCCTTTGCTCAGGATCTTGTCCCGTGGGTGACAGTGCTGCCAGCCCTGCTCCCTCGGTCCGTCCCTGTCATGCAAGTAGAGGAGACTTTCGAAGGTGCAAATCTGGCCTGGCCGGCACAACTCCGTGGTTGAGCATCGACCTATGAACCAGGAGGTCAAGGCTTGGTCCCCAGCAGGGGGCGTGCAGGAGGCAGCCAATCAATGATTCCCTCTCATCATTGATGTTTCTATCTCAACCTCCCCCTCCCTTCCTCTCTGAAACCACCCAAAAAAATATTTTTTAAAAAAGGTGCAAATCTGGTCTCATTGCTTCACCACTCCCATACTTTCCATGGCTCCCCATTAGCTAAAGCAGAAGATCCCAGGTGTGGACTGTCCTTGACTGACCTCTCAAGCTGCCCTTCCCAGCCCTAACCTCCAGCCCCGTCCCCTGCCCTCCAGCACACCTGCCTCCTGGGCTTCTGCTCCTTTGCTCCACCTGGGCCAGTCCTGACCTGCTTGGAGGAAACATCCTTCTCTGTTTGGACCCCCGGGGAGAAACTGGCCCTTTGGGTCCTATTGTGGGTGCTGTGTCTTCTCAGAGAGCCCCCGCCCTGGTCACCACAGGGTGGGGCATTTAGGAAGACTTTGGGTTTGAGAGGCAGGAGTAAGGCTCTCTTTTCCTGGGGCCCGCTTTCTGGCCTGGCCCGGCAGCTTTAGGGCAGAGGTGATGTTTGTTTTTAGGACACGTCATCCCCCCACCTAAGCCTATGTGTGCTGAGGGGCTGTGGAGGAAACTTCTCAGTCTTCTCTCCACCCTGCCCAAGCCGGCTGCTTGCTCTGCCCCAGAGCTTGGGGCACATGCACACACACACGAACTCAAGTGCGTGAGCACCAGGGGGGAGGTTAGATGCCCCTACAGCCTACCTCAGAAGGAAGGGTAGGGTGGGCAGAGCTTTCATATATAATGAAAGCCTAAGCGACCGTTAGGGCAGAATGACCAGAGCGACCAGTTGCTATGATGCACACTGACCACCAAGGGGCAGATGTTCGATGCACAAGCTGCCCCCTGGTGGTCAGTGTGCTCCCACAGGGGGAGTGCCACTCAGCCAGAAGCTGGGCTCTCAGCTGGCGAGCGCAGTGGTGGTGGCGGGAGCCTCTCCCACCTCTGTGGCAGCGCTAAGGAGCAGGGGGCTGAGCGGTAGGGAGAAAGGGGTCTTGGACTGCAAGAGGGCACAGGCCAGGCTGAGGGATCCCCCTCCCCCCCAGTGCACAAATTTTGTGCACTGGGCCCCTGGTGTGTGTGTGTGTGTGTGTGTGTGTGTGTGTGTATACATATACATATATATATATATAATTGATTTCAGAGAGAAGAAGGGAGAGAAAGACAGAAACACCAATGATGAGAGGGGATCATCGATTGGCTGCCTCCTGCACGCCCCCTCCTGGGGACCAAGCCCATAACCCAGGCATGTGCACTGACCAGGAATCAAACTGTGGCCTCCTGGTTCACAGGTCAATGCTCAAGCACTGAGCCACACCAGCTGGGCATGGGCAGAGGCTTTTTACACCAATAGACCCTGTTGACTGTGCCTCATGGTGTGCTGGTACCTAGTTGGGTACCTTACACTGCCACTTCTGCTGCCACAACGCCCTGTGGGGAGCAGGGGGAGGACCCTCCACCCTCATTCCACAGAGGAGAAAGCTGAGACTTAGGCCGAACGGAGCACGGATCCAGGGGCAGTCCCAGAGTCTGTGCTCTTGCCTGGGCCACATGTTGCAGGAGGCTGGTGAGGGGAGGGAGTACCTGGGCACCCAGAGGCAGATTCCCCGAATGGCTGGGGGCAGGAGGTGGGGCTCCTGGGACAGAGGCCTCTAGAGTATTCCTCTATCAGATTCCTGAGGTGCGGGCTTCCTTCCGGGAACTGCTCCACCTGCCCCCACCCTGGTGGACTTCCTCTCTCTGGCTCACAGCCTCTGTCTGCATAATTTCCCTCATTGGGTATGGGAATGTGGGAGGCCCTGCTGTGGCCAGGAGTTCAAGGCTCAGCCTTGGTGGCGCCTTACCTCTATGGTTGCAAGGGCAGCTGGCACCTCCTCTTTCATACAAAGAGGGCCCTGGGGTCCCACGTCCCTAATACCCTGCCCCGTATGACACTGGCCCTCCACCTCCCCCCGTATCTAAGAACTCTGCATGGACACTGCCCACCGGCAGCCCCTTCCCCAGTGTGATGTTATTAGAGCTCCCAGCGGGGTCACAGAGGCGCTTTCTTGGAGGAGGTGGTCTTGATCTAAGCCCTGAAGGATGACTGAGAGAGTTACTCATGTGGGGAAGCAGGAAGGGCAGGCCAGCAGAAGG